TCAAGTTATAGCTGAGTTATATACATATGCATGCAGTTGAGTTACATACAGTCTCACACAGCTAGGTGTCGTATATCGGAGTAAATCTATTTTGGATGCGATTTTATGAAAGAAGATTGAACAGAGATATGTATACAGAATATACAGCACAGCATTTTAGAACCGATATGTTACTTAGCTTTTTAACCTGTATAGTTTAAAAGGTTTATTCACTGAACAACTGAACTATTGTTTTTCATATATTTGATAAAGTTGTTTTTTTCTTCTATTTAATTTTTCAAAATCAGTTGAAACCGTTTGGAACAGGTGATAGCCACATATCCATAGAATACCCAATGAAACAGTACTTACTATATGGTAAGGTTCGGGATTCAGTTCAGCAGCCAGAGAAGGTAAGGGTCGGCTGAAAGTAACGATCACTATTCACACTATGAAGATGATATTAAATATATAATTGGAGTCTCACTACTCATATACGATTTTCTGCTTCGTTGAACAAAACCTGGGTGTCGTGTTAGGGAAATATTTTGATGAAACACAATGAAAACGAATCTGATGAGGAATACAAAAAATATCAATGAAATTTCTAATGTTGCGTCATGAACCTAACTATAGCCATTTGCTGACATCATCATTGCTGAACAAAGGATATTCACTGTAGGCTAAGGAAATCCCGCATTCCCAACACACTTGAATCAGATACAACACTCATGTCTGATTATAACTCATATTTTAGGTTGTGCAGCCTTGCTATCTCTACCGTGCTATATGACTGATGCACAAGGCATAGCTAATTATGAAAATGAAAACTGAACACATCGTGGAGCATATTAATTCTTTTTAATCCAACTTAATATAGCCAGTATTGCATAAGCGATATCGATGTAGTCCAACTGGCTCGGCATTAGATTTCCACGCGTCATGAAGTCGAGCAATGTGGTGTATTGTCAGCAAAGCGCATAAGCACAGATTCCGAACGGCAAAGTACAGCGACATTCTCCCGCTGAAAACTGAACCATAGTATACTATAGTGGCTCTACATGACCATTCACGATTCGCTGTTTACTTTCCGCTAGGTTGACAACACTGGACGAGTTGTGACATGGCAATTGTGGCATTCGGGCCAATCAACAAGAACTCGTCGATATAAATATCCTACCAGTCAGTACTTCCGCTAGCAATGGAAGAATAAGCTTTGTAGAGATGTCTCATTCACATGTACCTCATTGCGACTGTACCGAAACACAGCTCCAATAGGTAAGGCGAAGCCACAAACATAGATATAAATGCTACACTCGGCATATGTAAGCCCACGTATGTAAGTGACAGTGAGACATTAATACACAAAATGTGTTCCCTTCCGTGATCGTCTGGGCACAATTCTGTTAAAACTCGGACGGACAGGTAGTCATAGCATTTTACAGGTGATATTGTTGCACCTGTGTATGCGTGGTTGAGAAAGGTTCCTTGACCTAGCATTTAATCAGTCGCCTTCTCTTGGTTTTGCCCCTAAGGGGGTGTGGCGCTTTGTGTACCTTTTACCCGATAACACAGCTATGTAAGTGACAGATTAATACTCAAAATGTGTTCCCTCCGTGATCGGCAGGGCACAATTCTAATAAAACTCGGACGGACAGGTAGTCATAGCATTTTGCAGGTGATATTGTTGTACCTGTGTATGCATGGTTGAGAAAGGTTCCTTGACTAAGCATTTAATCACCCGGTTGATAGGGCGTCTTCTCTTGGTTTTGCCCTTGAGGGGGTGTGGCACTTTTACCTGATAACACCTCTACTGATGTACAGGTTACAGTGACAGGCGTCTCTACTTCAGACCAAGGGTGTTTGTGTTCATATACCGTGAAGACAGATTGCCAAGCCTCAATACTTTCCAAAGAGCACAAGTCTCGTAATTATAATTTTCCTTGTCAAATAAATATTAGGAGCCCAACTATTTCACAACGAACCAAATAAAAAATAAGGTATGTGACGCCAGGCTTGACGAAATACTTACATTAATGATACAACATTTATTATTAGTAAAATTATCAAAGCTTGTCAATTTATGTGACATTAAAGATGAAGTGAATACCAGAAATCTCAAAGTGTCTAAACTGGCATTAACGTTTGAAAAGTTGTGTCGTTGTAATCATCAAGGTTTTCACTGGAGGTTACAAGCTGACTTCATAGTAAGTCGGTAATCTGGAGAGATCTTTAGTCATCAAGTAGAATTCTGATCATGATGAATAATATTGCTGCTCACATAGAAACATGTTTTCCACAAGCTTTGCAAATTAGCCCATGGTTTTCCTAGCACATGAACCCGTGAAAGTCCGGGTTAGAATTGATCTTCAGCAACCCATGCTTGTCGTAAGAGGCGACTAACGGGATCGGGTGGTCAGGCTCACTGACTTGGTTGACATATGTCATCGTATCCCAATTGCGTAGATCGATGTTCATGCTGTTAATCCCTGGATTGTCTGGTCCAGACTTGATTATTTACAGACCGCCGCCATATGGATAGAATATTGCTGAGTGCGGCGTAAAACTAAACTCACTCACTTACTCCTAGCACATGGTGAACTAGAGGTAGGGTATTACATTAATTTAACATTTGCGTTCGATTTTCTTATTTTGTTCCTACCTTGACCATATAAATGTTGAATGCTTGTCTAGAATAATGAAAGACACTTGTTATGAATCGCTAGTGCACATATCAATGTGATCCATAGACAGCATCTCCTGTATATCACGGGCTACGGAGTTGTACAAAGTAGGATTTTCATTGTTAGATCCTAAATGCTTTTGCTGTGGTGAATCTGTTTGATAGAAATTAAAATTATATATAAAATCAAAGGTTTGTTAGAAAATTTTAAGTCCATACAGCAGTTTTATAGTGCAAGCAAGCTGTTGTTCTTCCATTTCACTCAAACGGGCTCCAAATGATTTCTCAACTATATATAACAGTAATTTTGTGTAAACTGTATTCAGTGTGTGCTCACATAATGACTTGTGCTTATAATGACTGGGGCCAGTAAAATAACCCAATCAGCCTCCTTGGGTCCTTGTTCCTGTTGCTGAAAACAGCAGATAATGAAGCCTCATCTGGGGAGTAAGATGCTGAAGCAACAATCAGTGTGGTGATGACTATGTACACAGAGTTGTTGTGGTTGTATCAAGATTAAATGTCATGTTTTCTTAATTGTGATAATTATCAACATCTTAGGAGATTTTATCTTCCTGAATTGTGTAAAATGCACAAAGAGATAAGCAACTAATGATAAATCGTCCAAATTCCCCAAACAATTATGTCATACAGTTTAAATCTATTTTCTTAAAACATGCATTTTGTTCAAGGTGAAAATGTTTCACAAATTAATGTTACGTTATGTGTGTAAGACAAATATCATACGGTCTGAAGTGCTGAATTAAACTTCTGTACCTGAACATCATTTCTGGTAACTGTATATTGTGCATAGAAGTGTTAGATTACAAACAACGAAATAATTGGTTAATATTGTCCTTTATATTTCAGATTTAAGACACTCTTGTTGAGAATTTGATGTGGAAAATTCTTTGGAACTGGTGACATTTGTCACCACCCTTTTCAGTCATGATTCCTTCATTTGTGAGTAAATTGTGGCACACTTGAACCTATACAAAACAATCAAGAGTATTTCCTCTGTTGCCACATATTCGGGCAGACTTACGCCCCTCAGACATGCTATAATATGCTGGTCATGGGTTTGAATCCAAACTTCATCCTCTTTAGGATGTCAGTGGTCTATGTCCAGAACCTTCATCTCTTTGGGCGTATTGTCAATAGTTCCCACTCACTCACTCACTCACTTTTACTCACTCATTCTTTTGTGAAGACTCATTTGAGGTGACAGTTGTCCCATTATATGTGTGCGTAGTTTTGATGAAATCAATGAAATGCTGTTGCATAAATATGTATTTCTATATAGAAATTAAGACTCTTTTATACAGAAGAATGTTAGGGAAACATTTATGGCGTAATGATATCAAGTAGAAGGATTTCTTTATACTGTAACCCGTGAAGGTCCGGGTTAGAATGTGCCTTCAGTATCCCATGCTTGTCGTAAGAGGCGACTAACGGGATCGGGTGGTCAGGCTCACTGACTTGGTTGACACATGTCATCGTATCGTAATTGCGCAGATCGATGCTCATGCTGTTGATCACTGGATTGTCTGGTCCAGACCCGATTATTTACAGACCACCGCCATATAGCTGGAATATTGCTGAGTGCGGCGTAAAACTAAACTCACTCACTCACTTTTTACTGTACTGAAGTCAACTGTGAATTTAACCAAGTATATCTTGTGTGATAGAATGCACAGTGATCCTCTTTTCAAACTTTGCACAAATGTAATATTTGAATTGTACCTATCTGAAAAGTGTGAAATACTCTATGTCATTCACACAGTTAATATTTCTCCAGGTTAAACGACAGTCCAGCAGACTAGCATTCACGAAACAAACCAGTGAAAAAAAAGACAGGACTGATAAAGTTGATGGACGTCCATCCTTGTCTCGTCAGTCCACAAAGGAACTTGACAAGAATGATAAGGATAAGTCAACTCCAGGAAGGTCAGGCTTGCGACGAAGATCAACTTCCAACCAAACGCCCTTGTCAAAACGGCCCACAATTCAGCTGGACAGTGAAGATTCAGTGACCAGAAAGTCGTCCCGCCAAGTGACATTTGAAAAAACGAAGTCCTCAGAATCTGATGGATCTGCATCAACACCAACTAGGAGGTTGTCCCAAAAATATCATCAGCTGGTAAAAATGTTTCCTTGACATCAAAACCAGTTCTGGCAGGTCGAGCGCCATCTTTGACTGCAAAAAGGTCACCCTGTAAGAAGGGGACAAAGAACCCGAATGAGAAGACACTTTGGTACCTTAGAGGTACCTATGTTACTGTCAGGAATGAAGATGGTAAGTAGCATCAGAAGGCCAACTTCCAAATCTTTCCCCATTGTCAGATTTGTCCCCTGCTTTGTGAAAAATTACCAGGAACCATCGGTTGACCTCTAAAAGAAACATAGGACCCCCACATTTAGGAAACCTTTGCTGTTACAGGTAATGCTTCACCTTAATACCATTGGTGAACAAATTTGGAAAACAATCCCTAATCTTATAGATACGTTCTATTTTATAGATGTCACTATCTTAATTGTAGGTATAACAATGTTTTAGATAAAATATACTCACTCCTTCAAGTGAGTGAGTGAGTGAGTTTAGTTTTACGCCGCACTCAGCAATATTCCAGCTATATGGCGGCGGTCTGTAAATAATCGAGTCTGGACCAGACAATCCGGTGATCAACAGCATGAGTATCAATCTGCGCAGTTGGGAACCGATGGCATGTGTCAACCAAGCCAGCAAGCCTGACCACCCGATCCCGTTAGTCGCCTCTTACGACAAGCATTGGTTACTGAAGGCTTATTCCAACCCGGACCTTCACGGGTCCACTCCTTCAAGAGATAATTAAGTAAACATTAAGCATATACACCAAATGTATAATGTTACAATAAAGAAGTCGAAAGTTAGGAAATCAGCACCATATTGATGCTTTTAGTTTTACCCAATATAGCAAATGACTGTCACCTGGGTCCCTTGGCCGTTCCTTCTCTTTTATGGTGTTATGAAATGCTGTTCAAGGTGCTCCAGGTGACTCACATTATCATTTTGTTTGTTTTCAGGGGGCTGGTTTCTGTGTCGCCTTCAGACCAACGTTTACAACACAACAAAGACTGTCAAAATCCGCTGGTTATCACCGAAATACGCTTCCCAGACTAATGACTATTTATTGGACTATGCAGATGAAATCGACCCTGGATGCATCCTGTTTAATGTTCGTGTATCAAAAATAGGAAAAGTGTATTTGCTGTGTGATGAAGATCGACTGGAGGCTGATAAGCTGTTGAAGGTTGTGGAGGATGTAACCAAGGGAAACATGGATGCAGATGACGTGGACAGTGACAGTACGTGAAGATAATTCTTCATTGTTAAAAGTATTCCATTTAGCTTTTGTGTGTGAACCATTTAGCTGCCATAAGGAATCTCTAACTAATTATATCCTTGTATTTTTGTTTTTAACATGATAGAAAGATTTGTTGCTTTCTCCCTTAACTTTCTCCGTTTCCCTCCAGTTGAAGAGGTTGTGCAGATTGAACCTCCTGCAAAGAAGAGGAAGACAGAGAAGAAGACCAAGGAAGATTCAAAGGGGAAGAAGGAAACGATAAAGGGGAAAAAGGAAAAGGCACCCGTGTCTAAGAAAACACCAGGGCATAACAAGAAACAGGCAAAAGAAAAGAAAGGTGAAATAGTTTTCTTTGATATTTCAGTGAAGTGTGTGGAATAGCTCATGGGAGCAATCTTCTAACTGCTTCTGCTTGCTGTTCATGATACAATGTTTATTTTAGTATCGCAACATGTATATGCCAGTGTACCAGCTCCTTCTTGCATCTCTGTTCCAGTTGTTCCTTTTATCACTACCTCCTTGTATTCAAACCATCGCAGTATCGCAGTATATGTACGCTGGGGTACCAGCACCCCCTCTTGTCAAGACATTCCTGTGTCAATACACAGGTATGTACTGGTACAAGAAGGTACTGTTTTCAAGGAGGTATTGCAACAGGGATGCACTGGCACAAGAAGATACTGCTGCAGCACCTCCTTGTGTCAATACCTCCTTGCAGCTACACCTTCTAGTACCAGTACATCCCTGTGTCAATACCTCCTTGCATCAGCAACTTCTAGTACCAGCATATCCTGTTTCAATACCTCCTTGCAGCAACACTTTCATATACCAGTGGGACAGTTGGGTAGCCTAGCGGTTACATCATTCGCTCATCACGCTGAAGACCCGGGTTCGATTCCATACATTGGTACAATATGTTAAGCCCATTTCTGGTGTCCCCCCGCCGTGATATTGCTGGAATATTGCCAAACGCGGCGTAAAACCATACTCACTCACTCAGGAAAACTTTCTTGTAGCAGTACATAGTGTGTCAATACCTCCTTGCAACAGAACCTTGTACCTGTATATGTCTGAGTCAATACTTCCTTGCAGCAGCATCTTCTTGTACCAATACATCTCTGTGTCAGTAATCCTTTGCAGCGGCACCTTGTACCTGAATACCATGTGTCAATACCCCCTTGTAGTAGCATCTTCTTGTACCAGTACATATTGTGTCAATATCTCATAGCAGCAGCACCTTGTACCATGATACCCTGTATCACCTTGTACCTGTATTTGTCTGAGTCAATACTTCCTTGCAGCAGCATCTTCTTGTACCAATACATCTCTGTGTCAGTAATCCCTTGCAGCGGCACCTTGTACCTGAATACCATGTGTCAATACCTCCTTGTAGTAGCATCTTCTTGTACCAGTACATAGTGTGTCAATATCTCATAGCAGCAGCACCTTGTACCATGATACCATGTATCAATACCTCCTTGCAGCAGCACCTTTTACCAGTACATACCTGTGTCAATATCTCATAGCAACAGCAGCACCTTCTTGTACCAATACACCTTGTCATACCTCCTTGCAGCAGCACCTTATACCTTAATAGCCTGTGTCAGTACCTCCTTGTGGTAGCTTATTCTTGCACCGGTACATTAAAAGAAACCGACGCACATAAGGAACTGTCTTTAGTCCCGGACGCTTGCTGAATATTTAGTCAAAAGTGCATAAATGAAGAAGGCTGAAACTAATGGGCACTTTGAGTCCGTTACAACCATAGTTTACTGCAATACCACATCATTGTGTCAATACCTCCTTGCACTATCCATGAGGGTGGTGGAGTAGCCAAGTGGTTAGAGCGTTCGCTCGTCATGCCGAATTCACCACTAATCGAATTTTCACTGGAATTATTCCTAACAATAAACGAAGACGAACATTTTAATGAGGTTCAAAGTTTTTTTAATCAACAATCCAAAGTACATATCTATTGAAGACACGGGTACTATTCCCAACATGGGTACAATTTTGTGAAGCCCATTTCTGGTGTCGCCTGCCTTGATATTGCTGGAATGTTGCTAAGAACAGCGTAAAACTAAACTCACTCACTAGATCCATGCATCGCTAAATACATGCACCAGGACCTCCTTACTACCTCCTTGTGCAACGTCCCACTGATACATCTCCCTCCTTGTGTTAGTACATGTTTGTAGCATAACCATCATGCATCACTAAATCCATGCATTAGGACCTCCTTACTACCTGGGGCGGTGGGGTAGCCTAGTGGTTAAAGCGTTGGCTCGTCACGCCGAAGACCCGGGTTCGATTCCCCACATGGGCACAATGTGTTAAGCCCATTTCTGGTGTCCCCCGCCGTGATATTGCTGGAATATTGCTAAAAGCGGCGTAAAACTAAACTCAGTCAGTCCTTACTACCTCCTTGTGGAAGGTCCCACTGATACATCTCCCTCCTTGTGATAGTACTTCTTTGTAGCACAACATCCATGCATCACTAAATCCATGCATTAGGACCTCCTTACTACCTCCTTGTGCAAGGTCCCACTGTTACATCTCTTTCCTTGTGTTAGTACATCTTTGTAACACAACATCCATGCATCAGGACCTACTTACTACCTCCCTGTGCCTGTGAAATCTACTGTACCTCTTTGTGTCAGTACCTTGTTCTACCAGTTCAGAAAAAGCATTTATGAAACATGATATATATATCATAAAAACTTTGCATGGATTCGGATTGAGGCGCAGATTACCCCAGTTCATATATCAGTTTTTAAACAACAATTTGAAGTAAGAGTGGGTTTCAGGAGAGCATGAGCAGGAGATAGGCGTGTTCTAATTCATTCTCTCCAAGTAATCGCCAAAACATACCACTGATATATATCTAAAGCCTACATATAGTGCAAATAGTACGTTTGAACATTGTTATTCACGTCGTCGTAAAATCGATATTGGTGACTTTATCAAACATGCCCGACACACGTTCACAAACATCATATGAAGAAGTCATTCAAGCGTCAGAACGACGACTGGCTGAATTCATAACATCAACGAAACTGTTCTACAGGATTCTATTCAAGAGCTGAGAACAGAGACAAGCGGATATAAACCCGAAAGTTAGTTCTGTTGAACATGATTGTCCACGTGCATGGTGGCGAAATAACTCTGTCAAGAACTAGCTGAACGTAAGAGCGCTTACAAACGACTTGAAAAACATTTAATTCTTAAAGACATGCACGATCGCAAACCTAATCTTTTGTTTTATGGGAGACCCCAAAACAAAATACGGAGCGGGTGCTTCGGGAGTTGAGAATACGGGGGATGAGATTCAATGTGGTACCGCGAGTTTCCGAGTATCAAGCGCAAACACCGTCTCGACGCTCACAAAAGCATCATCTCAACATTCCTAAACATGACGGACAGAGAAGATGTCATCAGTGTACGTAAGTTACTGCGTGGATCAGTGAACAGCGTGCAAACAGATTTACCTGCAATGTTGAAGAAACGTAGAGCTATTCTCCGCCGTCAAGCAACACAAATCAGAGAAAGTGAGAATATATTGTTTAAATATATTCAAAGTACACCGAAATTATATCCCCTTTGTCTGTTTAATGTATTCAGCAATCTTTCGGTGTAGCCCTCTTATCATAAACCCCCCTCCGGGCAGGACCCTTATTTCCTAAAGCTATCAGTAAATGGCAATTAACACCGCCCTACGTCGGCGGATATTACGTATGTACATGTACATAGGTCAGTGACCTTGCATACCGTGGCTTAATGTCCAAAAACCTGACTGACATGGTCACTCAGGGAGACTAGTCAGAGACGAGCCGAGCAGACGGGCCCAGATCATTACAGAAGCGGACGGATTGTGCGCCTAGTCGGGCGTCGGTCGAGGCCGTCGCCTCACCAACGTCTACATCGACGATGAAGAATCGCCGTCCTACTTCTGAATGTGTGTAAGTGACAGAGCTGGTCTCCACATCGCGAACATTGGCCACTCGGTCCCCTTGTGCGTTCTGTCATGTGGTTTCCATCTTCTGTACCATTTCTACCATTATTCTCCAACCATAATAAACATGGCTGCTGCTGTCTTCAACTTCACACCTGACTTGTCCTCCATCTCTTGTCCACCATCCTGAACTACCATCCGAGAATAATCCCCAACGGTCGCTCTTGGACACATGTAACGTTTAACGAAAGTGTAAAATAATAACATCCAGCAAACAAATATTATTTGCTGATAATTTGCTGTCTGTTTCATATGTCTGAGTTGAACTACATACACTGCCTCTTAAGACATAATTTATAATCACCCAACAAGATTGGTTATCAGATCAGTGGTGAATTTAATACTTAAAACGATATAATAAGAATTTTTAACAAGTTATCACCCAAGTATTATGATCCTTTCCAATGTTTGCACGTGCAGATGCCTTGCAAGTGGTTATGGAAGCGTGGAAGCTTAGTCTTGTGTCACTGTGTGTATTGTGAATTCAATAATATGAATATAATTAATTCGTATGGACAAGAGCATGTGTGAGTATTCAGTTTAATACCCTGTTTCATGTTACAAGATGTAAATAAATCTTGTATCTACGTGGAGAACAAACTTATGATTCGTGGCCACACTAAATTAACTCGCATATTTTGTTTGTCAGAACTTACTTCCTGAAAATTTCACAACAAAGAGGAATTAAAACAGGTATTCAAAAAGGTAATATACCAATACAATATATTAAAAACAATGCGCCTTATCTTGCTCCTATCAATCTTTTATAAACTTTCATCCATGGCTATTGCAAATAGAATTTATAAAGATTGGATTAGATACACTTATAAATGGATATAAAAAAGGGTTTATATGCCCGGAAGATACATCGGTGAAATAACATTTATGATCTTATGGAGTACACAGAAAACTATCAAATACCATGAGTGCTATTATTACAGATTGATTTATACAAGAAAGCATGACCGTTTTCGGTTTTTGAAATTCCATTAAAAACTTTCTATTAAGACCTTCCACAACGGAATTTAATCTTGTGTGATAGTAAATGGATTTGGATCTAATTTTTTAACATAGCCAGAGGGTGTCACCAAGGCGATCCCTTATCACCTTATATATTCCTCCTATGTGCTGAAAGACTTGCTACACTCATCAGAAATAATTAGAATATAAAGAGAATAATGATAAGGAATATGGAATATTTACTTTCTCAATTTGCAGATGATACTACTTGTGTTCTAGATGGTTCAGAAATATGTTTATTTGTCACATTGACTTCTTTGCTCGGTTCTATGTGGGTTAAGAGTTAATATCGAGGAAACAAGATTTATATGGATTGGCTCAAAGAAGACATCCAAAATGAAACTATGCCCCCAAATAACATTACATTGGAGCCAGCAACCATACAAAGATAAGTTAAGAACATGTGAAACATTAATGTCTGTATGGTCAGCAAGAAACATTACACGTCTCGGGAGAAATACTATCCTTAATCACTCATATTACCTAGGCGAAACCTGCTTTCAGCACTACCAGACCCTCCCGATTCAATGTTAGAACCTTCCAAAGGAAAATATTCAAATTCTTGTGGGGCAATAACCCCTAACAAAATTAATAGAACAGAAATTATTTGCAAAACAGAAGGTGGTGGTATAAACTGCCCCAAACTGAAAGGACTCACACAGGCTGAAAAAATTCCATGTTATGGAGACATTGCTTAAAGACGTCAATAAATTCAAAACAATTGTTTGCAGTAAACCTCATAAAGAATACTAGTATTCGAAATCATATCAAGACAACAAACATGAACGACCCCAAAACGTGGATACAAAATAATGTCGCTAGTTCTTACTATTGTACAGATTATCAATTCGCTCTAAACTAGATCAGGGCTCCATTGTCTATGGTGGAGCCTGCAAAAGCAATTTAGAACAAATAGATTCTATCCACCAGCAAGGTCTTACGCTCTGTCTCGGAGCTTTTAGGACCTCTCTGGTAGACAGTCTATATGCGGAGGCTAACGATCCTCCGCTTGAACCGCTCCCCATTAACTTTCACTGCAGTATATCACTAAATTACATTCAAATCAATCCAATCCGGCATACAATTGTGTTTTCAACTCACTCTGTGAAAACCTGTTTCCTAATCTATCAAGCCTGAATTCAACCACACATATCTGCAACTAAAATGATTTCAATATCATATCACCTTACCGACTTCTGTCTTCAAGACCTTGGCAGATGGTGAAGTCATAAGGAGATCTCCTGGCCGGGGACCCAGCTATGTTGATAACAACATAAAATTATTGTTTCTTCATTTTATTCCTGTGTCTGAAGTTTCAACATTAGATTGACTGTAACAAATAGAAAGAACTTAATTAAGTATATGGCTATCATGTTCCCTACATTTACACATCTACTACATAATGGCATATATATTGGACAATGTAAATTGCAGCACAAACGTGAAACTTACACAAATACAATGTGCAAAAGCAATATCTTAATTGCACTGAATAAACAGGAAGCTTAATATTTCAAATACCTTTCATACCACTTTTAAGCCAAAAGAATACCTGTGAACAAAATTTGAAGTCAAAACCAATTTCCACAAGTCAAGTCCAAAACAGCCATATAACCTAAATTATGAAAAATTATGTTATTATATATGGTACAAGTTAAGAAAATACATTTACAAACAGATTCCCCTTAATGAATTGTCAAATAAGTGAATACATTTGCCTTACCACTACTTTAGACCTCACATGGTTCTTCCCCAAGTCCAACATGTGCATACAGCACAAACCACGTGGTGATTCTGTACACCCCAATTAGAAGTTATCTCTCTTCTTATTAAGGTTGACATAACATTGGTACCTCTTCAAAATTGAAATGTAGTATTCAAAACTATGAAATAGAAATAAACCTTTTAACAATTACAACTAATAAATATTGCAGAATACTGGTGCAATATGAAAAGGTAAAGTAGTGAAAATATTATAAACTAAATTGTTTACTTCCTAACCAATTGAGCCATTATAACTGAATTAAATGGAAATCAACATTTTGACCTTTACAAAAAAGAAAATCCGAAACAGATTCTTTGGGGTTCCAAGTATAACGCCCATGCATCCATTTTCACAGTGCCACAGTAACTGGACCCAAGACTGTCTTCTCAAGAATCCCTGACAATAGTTTCATTTTCACTGATGAGGCCAAAGCTATCTTCACGGCTGTGACCTATATTAAACAGCAGAACCATTCCATAAACTTCATCATTTTTACCGATTCATTGTCTTGCCTCCAGGTACTTCAAAATGTCACTTCGAGTCACCCTGGACAGTTTAGAACTTTACAACGATCTTTCTATATATATTGTACTGTGTGGACTTTTCAAATGCAAGAGATTTCCATTATGAAACGATATAAACCTGAAAGTTCTGTTTTCCCGCGTGAGCAGCCTTCTCACTGTTAACTGCTTATGGGAAGTTGACCTGTATCATAAATTGTAACTATGTACTGTGAATGACGAACTGCTTGTTTTTAAATTTGGCGCTATGACTTTCCTGTTTGTAAATAATAATGTAATGAATAAATATATTTTTGGGAAACTCATTTGAACTTGTACTTAAAGTGTATATGTATGCAGATTTGGTCTCGTCGCTATATTGCTGAAATAATGTCAATGCGACGTAAAACTCAACTCAACTCCTTCTCATACCAGGAGCATTTACTTAATAATCACTCTTAAATATGGCTTGAGTCATATAAAAGATGGGTTATATTACAGAGCCAAAGAGGAAAGTCGCCCTAACTCTACATCCAAATCATTCTGTTCCTGTCTCCATGAACGACCTAAAATACCTTCAAATGTTATTAGGCATCACTCACTAACTGCGTTGAACCATGTGTGTGATGTTTCCTTGCAGTTGAAGAAGTTGTGCAGATTGAACCTCCTGCACAGAAGAGGAAGACAGCGAAGAAGAACAAGGAAGATTCAAAGGGGAAGAAGGAAAATATAGAGGGAAAAAAGGAAAAGGCACCCGAGTCTAATAAAACACCAGGACAGAAAGAAAAGAAAGGTGAAATTGTTTTCTTTGATATTTCAGTGAAGTGTGTGGAAAGCTCATGGGAGCAATCTTCTAACTCTTTCTGCTTGCTGTTCATGATTCAGTGTTAATCTTAGTACCGCAGCATGTATATGCCAGTGTACCAGCTCCTTCTTGCATCTCTGTTCCAGTTGTTTCTTATATAACTTATATAACTACCTCCTTGTATTGATGTGTTGTACTAATGCCTCCTCGAACCAGCATGTCCTTCTGTCAGTAAGTACCAGTTCATCCCTATGTCAATACCTCCTTACAACAGCACCTTGTACCTGAATACCCTGTGTCAATACATCCTTGTAGCACTACCTTCTTGTACCAGAACACCCTGTGTCAATACATTCTTGCAGCAGCACTTTGTACCTGAACATCCTGTGTCAATACCTCATAGCAGCAGCACCTTCTTGTACCAGAACATCCTGTGTCAATACACTCTTGCAGCAGCACCTTGTACCTGAACATCCTGTGTCAATACATCATAGCAGCAGCACCTTCTTGTACCAGAACATCCTGTGTCAATACATTCTTGCAGCAGCACCTTGTACCTGAACATCCTGTATCAATACCTCATAGCAGCAGCACCTTCTTGTACCAGTACATCCTGTGTCAATACACTCTTGCAGCAGCACCTTGTACCTGAACATCCTGTGTCAATACCTCATAGCAGCAGCACCTTCTTGTACCAGTACATCCTGTGTCAATACATTCTTGCAGCAGCACCTTGTACCTGAACATCCTGTGTCAATACCTAATAGCAGCAGCACCTTCTTGTACCAGAACATCCTGTGTCAATACATTCTTGCAGCAGCACCTTGTACCTGAAAATCCTGTGTCAATACCTCATAGCAGCAGCACCTTCTTGTACCAGAACATCCTGTGTCAATACACTCTTGCAGCAGCACCTTGTACCTGAACATCCTGTATCAATACCTCATAGCAGCAGCACCTTCTTGTACCAGTACATCCTGTGTCAATACACTCTTGCAGCAGCACCTTGTACCTGAACATCCTGTGTCAATACCTCATAGCAGCAGCACCTTCTTGTACCAGTACATACATGTGTCATTACCTCCTTGCAGCGGCACCTTGAACCTGAACATCTTTGTGTCATTACCTCCTTTTTTGTAAACTATATTGGTAATCAACACGTTTATAAGAAACTGACTCACATAAGAAACTGAAACACTTGCTGTATATTTTAGTCAAAATGCGCATAAATGAAGACAAGTTATAACAAGCTGAAACTATAATGGTCCCTTTGAGTCCGTTACAACCATAGTTTACTGCAATACCACCTCACTGTGCTTATACCCCCTTGCACTATCCATGAGGGTGGTGGGGTGGCCAAATGGTTAAAGCGTTCGCTCGTCGTCCCTAATTCATCACCTATCGAATTGTCACTGGAATTATCAACTTACCACACGTATAACGGGTCATCTCAGACAGTCTTTTCAAAATCGTATCAAATGGTTAGACTATATAATCAGAGATGTGTATTGTAAATCCCTGGGATGTGAACTGTAAATCCCCAGGATGTGCATTGTAAGACCCGGGATGTGAATTGTAAAGTGAGTTCCCAGACCTCTGCTGTGACTTTGCACTGATCATTTCTAAACCTAGAATATTATTCATGATTGATACAACTTTGTCTTGCTATCACTGATCGTAAAATATAACATTATTGAAAACTTCCAATATATAGTGACGATAACTGGTTTCGAACCTGCAACCCTACGCTCTCTAACTTGGCGGTTTTATCCACTAGGCTACGAAGGATCGCTGTGAAGAATGAGATTGTTTGTCAGTCGGGTCCTCGGGATGTTCCCTCCTCTCAGGGTTCACAATCTCTAGTAAACCCTCGTAGTCGTGGTTTCTCCTATACTTATCCCTAACAAAAAACGAAGACAAGCATTATAATGAGGTTCAAAGTTTTTAAACAACAATCCAAAGTACATATCTATTGAAGACGCGGGTATTATTCCTGCCCTTGGTACAATGTGTGAAGCCCATTTCTGGTGTCCCCTGCCGTAATATTGTTGGAGTGTTGCCAAAAGCAGCGTAAAACTAAATCACTCACTTAATCCATGCATCAGGACCTCCATACTACCTCTTTGTGCAAGGTCCCACTGATACATCTCCCTCCTTGTGTTAGTACATCTTTGTAGCACAACATCCATGCATCACTAAATCCATGCATCAGGACCTCCTTACTACCTCCTTGTGCCTGTGACATTTACTGTACCTCTTTGTGTCAGTACCTTGTTGTGCCTCATATCAAGAACATTTACTTAATAATCACTCTTAAATATAGCTTGATTCCTTTAAAAGATGAGTTTTGTTTCAGAGCCTAAGAGGAAAGTCGCCAAAAAGTCAGATCAGTTAACTCTACATCCAAATCAATCTGTCCCCGTGTTCAAGAAAGACCCTTTCTTTGAAACAAAGTAAGTTTTACATTAATGTTCATTTTATTAGTTATTTAGTCTTTATTTCACCATAACTTTATATGTGTAAGGTCAATTGAAAAATACATCTATTCTTTCTTTTGTGTGCAGCAAATCAGTGCCCTTTGTGTCCAAGTATGCCCACTCCAGGCTTGTATTCCGAGCTGTCTACATGAAAGATTACAAACTGCTTGAGAAGCTGATCAAGGATACGGAAAAGATCAGATACGTAAGGATTGTAGATTTGTACACTTTATTCGTTTATCTTAGGTGATGTTGATAACAGCATGAAATTCTTGGTTCTACATTATGTTCTTGTGTCTTTAGTTTCAAACATTAGATTGACTGTAATAAATCTAAAGAATATAATATAAGTATATGGCTATCACTTTGCCTAAATGTGCACATTTGCTACATAATCGCATGTACATTTGACAATTTTAATTGCAGCACAAACTTAAATATTACACAAATAAACCAATACCTAATTGCACTAAATAATCAGGAAGCTTAATATATCAGATATCTTTGAAACCAACTTTAAGCCAAAAGAATTCGTTTTGAATAAAATATGAATTCTAGTACAGTTTTCATAAGCCAAATCTAAAACAGCTATAAAACCTAAATTATGTAGAATTATGTCATTATGTACGGTAGAAATTAAGAAAATGCATTTACCAACAAATTCCTTTAATGAATTGTCAAACAAGTGAATACATTTGCCTTACCATTACTCTAGGCCTCGCTTACATTCTTCCCTGGCTCAGACATGTGCATGTGCATTTGAACACGCCAATAAGTAGTTATCTCCCTTCTTATGAAGGTTGACATAAAATTGGCACCTCATCAGAAATGAAAAACTAGTATAACATTCAAAACTATGAAATTTAGATATGCCTTCTAACCATTACAACTCCTCAGTATTGTATAATACTGTAGTAAAATGAAACGGGCAATATTATTAGCTGGATCTTATACTTCCTTAACCACTTGAGCCATTGCAACTGAAAAATGGAAATCAAAATTTTGACCATTACAGGTGAAATGTAATTTGTGTTACTTTAGAATTTCTTGTAGGTGTTAGCAAGAAATTATTTCACTTGCAAGACAATTTACATGTTACTGCGTGTTCAATTTTGTTTCATAATGTTCCTGCTTACCATTCCAGCTTTCCCATTATCGGAGTACTGCAGATGAGACGACGGCACTAGACCTGGCAGTGACCTTGAAGGACAAGGAGGCCATGAGTATGCTATATAAGGACTACTTCGGGAGTGACAACAGCACCCTGGAAAAACGGAAAAAACACACGTTGCCTCTCAAAGTCAATGCTGCAAAACTAGAAAGTGGATCGTAAGTGGGTGGGGATTTATTTTCACGGTTCCAGGTTTACCAGACTATATTGATCATATCAAACATTAAACATATGAATATAGCATAGGTAACGGCTCAAATGACCTTGATCAAGCAAACAAACAAAATACAACAAACTGTATGTAATTTGAAACATTGTTCCAAAAATGTATTAAAACAGAGACAGGCATCCCCAGAATATTCCAAGGAGGAGAAACACATCTCAAGTGAGCTTATGTCCTGATTTCCATGTTCTCCTTAGAAACCACAGGGCCAATGAAGCCGAAAAATTCAAATATATTTTCATCAATAATGGCAGCCGAATTTGTGTGAAGGTTTGAATCTGACTTTTCAGAATGGCAATGGCAGCCATATTAAATAATCTATTTATGGCCATTTCTTAGCCATGTTTGTTCATAATGTAATGGAATTCGGTACATGTGTAGTTATTAGTGAGGCTCAAGATGTATGTTAAATTCTTTGGATTGTTTTGAATTTCATTCTTGAACCGATCTTTGCACTTCAATGAAAATGATAACTGAAACTTTAAACATATATTATTCAGCTTCTTACTTTCAATACATAATGAAATTTGGTATATGTGTAGTAAGTACTCGGGCTACCCACACACATTGTATTTTTTTTATATTAAAACTTTTTTCCTTTATTTGACTGCTATTCCCACTAATGATAACCCCTTGCTCTGTACAAGAGGTTCAAACCATGTTGAAAGACCACTTCATGAACATTACTCAGCCATTACTATTTAAATTGTTCAATTTTTTTAAAGCGCTGCATGTGGATGTATTCTGACCTTGAATACTTGGGAAGAAAGGCATGGTGCACCGGGTGCAGACTGAAGGGTAATTGCTAGGATACTCAAATCATAAGTTGGGAATTTTCCAACTCTTATTCTTCTGTTGTTTTTGTGTGTTTTCGATACAGCTTTAGATCACTGGGTGTCAATCACAGTCGGGGCAGTCGAGAAGGGAACAGTGCCCTTACAAAGGTAGGTGATAGTAGTGCATAGGATGTTATAAGCCAGTAGAAGTTAGTTGAATGAACGCACCCAGAAGGTATGAATGCGAGACAATTGTTTTGTGCTGTAGCTAGCAATATTGCAACAACATAACACCAATATATCAGCAATATTCCTGCAATATAACTTTCACCACAGTATGACGGTAATATCATGACAATATTCCAGTAATGTGTCTGCAATATCACATCTATGTCAGCAATATTCTCTCAATATAACAGCTGCCACCAAAGTATCACAGCAATATTCCTGTAACGTCACATCATTGTTACTATAGGTATTATAGCAACATTCCTGCATTATCACAGCAATATTAACATCACTGCAATATTCCAGCAGTATCACAGTAAAGTTACAGCTGCATCACCACATTATCGCTGCAATATTAACATCACTACAATATTCCAGCAGTATCACAGTAGAGTTACAGCGGTATCACCACATTATCACTGCAATATTCCAGCAGTATCACAGTAAAGTTACAGCTGTATCACCACATTATCACTGCAATATTCCAGCAGTATCACAGCAAAGTTACAGCGGTATCACCACATTATCACTGCAATATTCCAGCAGTATCACAGCAAAGTTACAGCTGTATCACCACATTATCACTGCAATATTCCAGCAGTATCACAGCAAAGTTACAGCTGTATCACCACATTATCACTGCAATATTCCAGCGATGTTGCATAACACCAGTATTCCAGCAGTGTCAGCATTACCAAAGCAATATTACAGTCTTTGGGGCAATCAACACCAAAAGATTCAGCACGACAATCAACAGAGATTAAGGTTATTACATATTTACAGCTTATCAAAATCTAATCGAGGCCAGTCAAGATTAATCGACCCCTACAGTTTGTCCATCTGGCTCCGTAAGCAATATCTATAATCACAACAACTATTAGGAATGTCATCACACTGTACATCAAACCTCGTTAATTGTATAAACTCAAATATCCCTCATGTATATCATGTGTATCACTTGCTTGATAACGGTGTTAGCATCTACACCGAAATGTTGCAATAAAGAAGTTTTCTATCCATACAAAATCGTTCCTCTTCATCATACCAGCTTCTAAATGCCACTCAAAGAAAATATACTGAACATCATTGAAAACGCACCACCTGTAAAGTTTGAAATATGGTAATAGGATTGTTTTGAGAGTGAAAATGAACGTTGGAAATGTTGTTACTAACACAAAAGACAATAAATGATGCTGTACAGTAAAGAACACATCATGGAACACATCACATGACAACAACAAAATTCATGCACAGCACACACAAAAAGCACAAACTGCATGCGTAAAACATGCTGATTAAGGGTATAAATGACCGTCGGCAAAAAACCGTTCTCATTTTAGCTGTACCTCCGCAAGTAAAGTTTATTTTGCAATGACAGGATTGTCACCAGAAGAACGAGAACGGGCGTTGGGCATGTTGCAGGTTGGCACATCAAGCAGGATTATTGCCAGACGATTTGGTTGCCATCGTTCCACCATCATAAGACTTGCCAACAGGTACCAACAAACAGGAACCACCAGGGACCGCCAACGTCCTGGCCAGGCACGTGTTACCACCCCTCGCCAAGATCGAGACATTCTTCGGCGCCATATTCAGGATCGTACGTTGCCGACTGCCAGAACCACCAACGCTGTCCAAGGCCGACGTGGTTTGATCAGTGCTTCCACCGTCCGACGCCTTCTCCGTGCGGCAGGATTACGGTGTCGACGCCCTTATGTTGGACCCATCCTGACTGATAGACATCGCCGTGAACGCCGACGATGGGCTAAACAGCATCGTTTGTGGTTGTTACGACGTTGGCATGGTGCTGTGTTCTCCGACGAGTCACGTTTTCACTTGCGAAATGCTGAAGGGAGTCTACGGGTATGGCGTCGACGGGGAGAACGTTACCATCAGGACTGTGTTGTGCAAACAGATCGGTGGGGTGGAGGAAGCATTATGGTGTGGGGAGGTATCAGTTATCATCACAAAACCGCTCTGGTAGTTTGTCGTGGCAGAGTGAATGCCCTTTACTACCGTGACACCATTCTTCAGAACAACGTCGTTCCCTTCTTTAACCAACCTCTAGACCTGCACACATTCCAGCAGGACAATGCTCGAGCGCACACTGCACGTGTTGCAACACAGTTTCTGGCAAACAACAACAACATACCTCTACTTCCATGGCCTGCATTGTCACCAGATGTGTCTCCCATTGAACACTTGTGGGATTACATCGGCCAACGCCTCTCACGTCGCCCACAGATCCACAACCTTGGGGAACTTGAGAATGCATTGCAACAAGAGTGGAATGCATTGCCTCAAAACATTATTCAGAGACTTATCAGTTCAACGAGGAGACGTTGCACAGCTTGTGTTGCTGCTCACGGTGGCCATACACTTTACTGACTTTCCAATTTGACTCCATCTTTCTTTCATGGTCAGCTGAATTAAAACTTCACTGTTTTGCTGGATTGGTTCTTGTTCTTTTCTTTACCAATCACTGGACTACAAAAGTATGTAAAATGTACACCGACTGCTCTTGGAAATCCAAACTAATACAGGTGGTGCGTTTTCAATGATGTTCAGTATATTACAGAAATGCCACAGCAATATTCCAACAAAAGCAGAAACATGTGTATAGAGTTGCATGTGTGCCAGGCACCCCAGTCGTTAACAGCATCAAGAACATTCTGTGCTGTCATGACACACTGACAGAGCAATGGCCAACTGTTACATATATACCAGCTTTCCCATGGCGAGACCACCATTTTCACTGAGCAAATTTGAATCAGTTATGTCTTTGGTTGCAGGATCTGTCCGATATGCAAGAGAAAAAGCTTCCTTCATCCGAAATCACTCAAATGTTAGCAGTTGGTATTGACTTCGACACCATGAAAGATATTTTGAAAAAGCCCCAGGATAGTCAGATGGACTACTCTACAGTACGTACCAGACGCAATAATAAAGACAATGGTAATAAAGGGGTGGGCATTCGGCTGAAGGTGGCGGTAACAGCCAAATACAAACCGAGACGCTATGAGGAATATTACGATTGTGTTGATGCAATGTTATGAAATACAGCACGACTGGTGGAGTGGTGAGCGAAGTATTCAGATACTTCAAAACTTCAAAACTTTAAATTAGCTTTAAGATAGCACTTTGAGTATATGAACATGAATATAGTGCGGAAGGGTTGTAATCATGTAGAATTGAAGCTAATATTATTGATTATATTGTTTTGAACAATCCATTATATTGATGAAAATTTAATAAGTCATTGCAATAAACATGTGTCTCTGAGTCAAGTTTACTTGTTGCCATGTGTCTTTACATTCATGCCATTAAATCTTTTGTAAGAAAGATAGCATTTTTATACTTACCGTTAATTCCGTACGATTCTAACTCTGCTAATTGGCATCCTATTATATGGAATTTCTAACCCTGAAGTTACTGGTTTTTATGTTTAATTTGTAGTATGAACAGGCGCTTACGAACATCGATGTAGCTCTTCAGCATGGGCATTACAAACTTGCAGAAGCAATCATGCAGAACATAAGAAAGGAACATCCAGTTTTGTTCAGAAAAATGTCCATTCTTCACTACGAGGTAAGAGTCACACAGATAGTATTAATGAGTGTTCGCTTGAACCGCCTCACTAGTCTTGTGGACATAATGTCTTCCAGGAGAGCAGAAACTGTTTCAACCAAAGGCTGTGTCATACCAAAAACTGTGAAAAATGGGCTTTGTTTTTACCCTGACTGGAGCATGGCATTAATGGGATAAAAATATGATTGTATGGGCAGAGTTATTATGGTGTTTCTGTGTGTGGTGTCCATGCTAAACTGCACCATTGGATCTTTGATGGTTGTTACTACGAAACTGGGTCCAGACTGGTCGGAGGTGCTGCACACGTGGAATCACTTTGCAATATGAGTAAAATGACCTTGAAAATGATGTTAAACAAAATTGTATCTCACATCGTTTTCTCACCATCATGGCAATCTGTGATGGTATTGAATCTGTGTCGCAAGTTAAATTTAAGAATCCATAAAACACTGGCCATTGTTCATTAAAAACTATAAAAACTAAACAAAGTTTCCTTTGTATAATTTGATGTAACCCTAATGTTCAGAAGCTGAAGATCAATCTCCAGTACATGGGAAGGGAGGACTTCAAGGAATGCTCATCGAATTTAGTCTACTGTAGTAATTTGATTTGTTGTATTTAGTATGGTTCACATATTGCACTGTTTGACTGACCCGGCAGAGTGATGACACAAAGCACGAGCAAGACATATTCAAAGTCACATAACTGGAGTGAGGAACTGTGTGCCGGTTTCCTCCCGCATCTTGCTAAGGTCAGTCATATTACTGTATTACTGTTCAAAGTGGTGATAAAGCAAGCCCTCATGCACTCACTGTCGTTCGGCCACAGGTTCTCTCGTCAGACAAGGAATTGAAGAAATGCCCACCATCACAGGTTAAGCGGGGAATCAAATTGGTCAAAAAGGTAGGTTTGAACATAATTGAAGACAGAAAGCGGACTTTATTCAGAACGTGTATTCTCTCAATGGTGTCTGGACTTAGAGTTTTAGTGTATTTGATTATTTGTGTACCCGGCAGATCATTGGCTCACTGGTGTGGAGTGTGCCAGCTTGTATATTAAGAGTTGTTTATGAACACCTGGTGTCAGTACTGTTTCTCAGTGATCCATCCATATATACCTTGTAATACCTTGTTCTCATGTTTCAACATGTGGTAAACATCTCTAACATGTGTCAGTTTTCTGTTCGACTTGAATGTTCTGGAAACATTCAGGAACTATCAGAATAGCTTGAAAATGCTCTTGTTCAGATTGGGGTGTATGGGGTGGGGTGTGTGTGTGTTAGCCTAGTGGTTAAAGCGGTCGCTCGTCACGCCGAAGACCCGGGTTCGATTCCCCACATGGGTACAATATGTGAAGCCCGTTTCTGGTGTCCCCGGCTGTGATATTGCTAAAAGTGGCAGAATAATAACTTACTCACTCACTCTTCAGATGGGCACGCAACTGAATATCGTTTGTCAGAACTGGTTTCCTCTAAAACGTCTTTGAGCAGACTTTAATGGGCTGGAAACAGGCGCTATACAACTAACTAATTATTATTATTGTTAATGTTAAGCTGATAGTAAAGATGATGTCAGATAGTGATGTCACCATCTCACTCATTCCAACAGATAACTCCGATCCACATTGCTGCCTGTAGCCCGAACACTGCACCTCTTGACCAACTGCTGGAGATGGAGCCCAACATCCACATCCCGGACAAGTGTAAACGTAGACCCATCCACTTCGCTGCTGGCTGTGAGTCCACAGCCCCTCTGGAATACCTTGTGGGAAGGTCAGTTAACTCTGGTTTTGTCTGGTTTTATCTGGTTTAGGCCATTCATAATCAGTCACGAAAGTTTATGCTTCATGTTCTTCCCTTGTGATAAAGAGATTACAACTGAGGTTTCTTTTATATTTCTGTATAAAGAGGTTTACCAACCTGAGCCAAAAGCCACAATACAGTAAACAACGATTTTATATGCCCTATTAACAGCCAGTGTCTAGGACCAAAATACGTGTTCCTCATCCATCAGTTTGTTATAAGCATATTCAACTTCATTCACATATTGTACACCCGATATATTTTACAGAACCAGAACATTTATAAATATACAGTCAGCTAGAATACGTTTTCCTGGATATCAAGACAGGAGAGGGAAGTTTTAGTACCAGAAACTTTCCCTGCTCCAACAGAGATGTTAGATGATTGGATAGCTATTGTTAATGTTGTGTCTTTTGACTCTGACTGACAATGAGATTATAATGATAAATGGTCTACTATCATGGCAGAATGGAGGTATGGAACAGCATCAAGGAATCAAGCTTACAGTATCCCTCTTAGTATCAGAATAAGATACATTCACATAATTTGGGCAAATAATCCCAGTACATTATCACGAACAATATATACTACTGGAATAAAGTAACTTCATTATTCAATGTTATACCATTTTTTAATGCACAAAGATGATAACATGATTTGTGGTGTTTTCCAAAGTCACTGTTTAACTGTTGAGAGGATAAATATCGGAATTTGTATGATTTGACACTAGGCATCGTGACACGCCCTTGAAGAGATGTGGTGTCAGATTTAGTATCGTGTGTGCCCACCATTGATGCAAGCTTGACAACGACGATACATAGACGACACTACGCGATTGAAAAAAGCTTGGGGAATGTTGTTCCATGGCTCTCAACTCGTCAGTGAACAAAACACCATCCCAATCTTGTCTCCTGTACCGTAGATAACGTCTGCACCAGGAAAGATGTGCGTGTCGGTGACTTTTTTCCGTTAGTACGGTACATATTATGACTTGTATATACTATTCCAGTATTGAGCATCATGTGTTATTGTTATTGTAGGGGGGCCAATATGTATGACTGCGACCACAAGGGTGAGACTCCTCTACACTTTGCCGTCCGCGCAAACAGAGTTAAAAATGTGAAGTATCTCCTGCAAGAAGCAAAAAGAAGTAAGTCAGAGTTATATTGGCGACTATGTCGTATGTGTCGAAATGGTCTCGTTAAGGTTGTGTGTTTGAGTTTTTATTTACATGGCAGGATGAAATACTGTTTTACTGGAAGCACGTTGTATGTTAGTGTGTAAATTGAAGCATGTGGTATCTTTGTGTTTTATTGCAAGCATGTGGTATATTTGTGTTTTATTGCAAGCATTTGGTATCTTTGTGTTTTATTGCAAGCATTTGGTATGTAAGTGTTTTATTGCAAGCATTTGGTATGTAAGTGTTTTATTGCAAGCATGTGGTATCTTTGTGTTTCACTGGAAGCATGCGGCGTGTTTGTGTCATATTGTCAGTACCTTGTGAATCATGTGTGATTATCATTTATTGGAAGCATGCGGTGTATTTGTGTTGTATTGCATGCATGAGTGTTAGTGCGTTTTTGAAGCATGCGTGTTTGTGATGTATCAAATTGGAAGCATGTTTGTATCTTATTGCAAGCATTTGGTGTGTTTGGATTTTACTGGAAGCGTGTGGTGTGTTGTGTTGGAAGTATTTGGTGTGTTTGTGTTACACTGGAAGAATATGTGTATTCAATTTGAATCATGTGGTGTGTTGTATTGGAAGTATTTGGTGTGTTTGCGTTTTATTGGTAGAATATGTGTATTCAATTTGAAGCATGTGGTGTGTTTGTGTTTTAGTGGAACTGATTTCAGTTCAGTTTTGCCTGACAAATTATTATACTCCAAGTTAAAGTACAATGTGTATTTCGTACCATAACTCTTTATCGTGATTAGAAGTGTACAATCATGACAACTGGAAAGAACATCTGACGTGTGACTTGTTAAACACATGGAAATGTGGATTCATGTTGCCCATATCATCCTTATGGTAATTATTCCCAGTTATAAGTTAATGTATATGACCAGAGTTAATTCTGCTTCTGAAGATAACGTCTGAATTACACCTGATTCAACTCTCATCTAGGTTCTCAGGTAGCACATGGTGTTAAGAGTAGACTGATCATTTGATCAATCAATCTTCTCTGTTATTAGGAGAAATTCTACTTCTTACTTATAAAAGTAGCTTTTGAAAATATGTCTCCCCCACTGTATTTTAACATGTCATGAAACTAGAATATGTTGGATGCAATGCCACTTCAAATGTACTATCTGTATGACATCTCCAACTATTTCCAAACATGCAGACACAGTTGCACTCCTCTAAGACAATCAGAATGTCCTTATGAAAGGTTAACTAGTGTAAGAAAGTGAGAAGCCGTCAAGAAATGTTTATGTGAATGTGGTTTTATTTTCAGGTATGAGTGACGATGATCCAATCTTTTTGCGCTTTGGGGTTGGAGGTCTCAATCGGCCAAACAAGGCCTCGTACACGCCGATGCATATGGCGACAGAGAAAGGGTATGTGGTAAGTCAGCTTGCTCACCATTCCATCTTTTGCATTAAAATGATATTTTTGAAGGTGAAGCTTCTCTAAGTATATTTAATGTGATATAGGAGTAAGTGTTTGTTTGCTTATTTTAGTCCTGCTATGAACGTTTGATTTTATGTACCATTCAATCTATTGAAAGTCCTTTTCATATGTTCCCCAATAAATAGTCTTATTATATAAAGAAAAAAAAATTCTTTTGAATGATGTCCCTTAGTTATGTCAGGATCTACTGGTTGGTTGAAGTGCAAGATTTACACCTTTAGCATCTGACTTGTGAGATGTGTTCTTCTAAGCAACTGTGGGAAGGATTGCTTTTCTCTCGCATCAAACTGTTTGAAAGATGCTAAAAGCAGCATTAGACCCTAATTCAGTGACTTTCTCATCTTACTTTGTACCTATTACAATTGTATCACAGGCTGTTTCTGCTGTTTGTTGTAGGAAATTGTCGAAGTGCTGGTTAGTTATGGGGCCAAGGTAGATGTGTCACTGAACACTGCTTACTTTAAGGTCACACCCCTCATGATGGCCGCTCAGTTCGGCTTCCAGGATACACTGAACTTCCTGGTGGAACATGGGGCAGTTGTGCAGCGTAAGGGTGAGGTCATTTTGATTGAAGGCTATCAGTGGACAGGTCAAGATCCAGTTTTGGGGTCTTTTTGTGTTTGTTTTTTAAAAATGGTTTTGAAAACATCCTCGAATAAATGACAAAGAAACCTAAAGTACATTTACTTGATATGCAATATGGAAAGCACTTATTTGCAGTAGAAAAAAATGAATCAGACGGCATTGCTGCTTAAATATGAATTATGGAAATTATGAAGAGGAGTTGACAGAAGAGTGAAACTCTTACCCTGAAATGTTCTCAGACGGTCTAGGCAGAACAGTCCTAATCCATGCTGCAATGAATGGGAACACAAATGTCTTGTCCTACCTACTAAACATTGGCTGCAACCCCAACCTGTGTGACAACTCCGGCAACTCCCCCATCATGTATGCTGCAGCGTACGGCTGGTACTTCTGTGTAGAGTCTCTGCTTGGTGCAGGAGCAGATGTCAATTTAGGCAATGACTGGAAGGTGAGTTGATGACCAAGAGGCTGTTATATACTGTAACTCAGGTATAACTTGAGGCAGTTGATAAACCAGAGGTTGTCATATACTGTAACTCTGGTCTTACTGGAAAGTGTTGTTCACACATAGGTTGTTATATACTGTAACTCTGGTATAACTGGAGTGAGATGTATATTTAAATACTCAAACACTGCAATGTAATCCGATTTGAATGAATTTAACTCAAGTATATTTGTCCACAACTTGGACTCTTGACTCTTTGACAAGACAAGACCTAAAGAAGTGTATGAAAATCATGAAAAAACATTGTCCAAACAGACAAGTTGGTGTTAATTATTTGGCTTGTGCTGTGGTTGTAAAGACTGTACCATTGTCTAACTGCCAATGACATTGATATTTTTTCTGTAATTATGACAGATGGTAGTTTTGGTACGTGGAAGTATGTAGCATATATTCTCTGCTGACATTGTTCTTCGGGTGTATTTATATATAGAGCAGGGTGCTTGATGCTAAAATCTCATTACTTCAACTTGATATTCATGTCACCTTATGAAGTTAAAAGACGGGATCATTCACTGATGATCAGAAGTCGGTTTTGTCTTTAGACCACACCTCTCTCCATCGCCTACATGAAGAGCCATTTTGGCATTGCCAGCCTGCTGCTGACAAAATCTGACGTTGATGTCAACTTCCGGGATGACCAAGGTAGGACAGGGAATTACAAAGATAACTGAGAATTAACACTGCATTTGTGTATTGAGATTCCTTTTGTAATTTTGATTTAAGCTTGGTACCCAGAATTTGTTTGTTTGTAGTTGGGGTATGAAGAAATAAATCAACTAGCGAGCCTGACCACAAAATGTCGTTAGTTGCCTCTAACAACAAAACAGGCGTAGCTGAAGACCAGTTCTTCACTGTTCAGTTTCCCACAAATCCACGTTTGTAGCAAGATGTGACTAAATAGAGTGGCTGGCGTGGCTTTGTGAATTGGTAAATTGTGGAACTTTCACTTTATATGACTCAATGATTTCTCTGGTCCTTGCTCAATCATTAACTGGTGTGTTATAAAAATAACCGGAATATTTTTGAGTGTATCACTAAACAATCTGTACGAGCTGATGGTTTATCTGGTGTAGGACAAGGACAGCTGGCTGCACCTTTGTTGATGCTTAGGGCTGTACACCTCTCATTATGCACTGATGGTGTGGAACTTTGCTCTAAATATTAATCACTGATTTCTCCTTGCTCAGTTATTCGTGTTGCAATGGAGCTGGAATATATCTGAGTGTCCAATTCGATAAACAACAAACGAAATGAAACAATTTGTATTCCAACTGTATGCCTAAAGCATGGAGTTGATCAAGTGATTTGTGTGTAATGCTTTTCATCCACTGTGGTGCATCATGGACAATATTTTCTGTCTGAATTCAACTACGCTAGTGACTTGCGATAAGAGCATATGGTGTAATCAAATTCATTAGCAGCTTAGGGAAAAACAGGACTGCTCTGTTAAATGTTTGTTTTAATTTGACCTCAACCGCTGCCAGTGATGTTTCCTATGACTAGTGACTGCATGTTACACATACAAATATTTTATCTGCAGTCACAGTTGTAAGATATTGACAGTGATGTATTTATTCCATTCATTCCTCTGTTGCAGAAATGACCTTGGTGTCTACAGCTGCCTCCAGCGCCCTGTACCCAGACCTGTACGACCAGATGGTTTACCTGGTGAAGGACAAGGCAGCTGGTTGCACCTTTGTGGATGTTGAAGGTTGCACACCTGTGAGTTGTAAACACCTGCCTGTAGCTATGGATCTAGACATGGCAGACTTTGGTCCTAGCATTGTCAGTTTCCGAGGTGTGATTATTTCTGTAGACATGACGCTTTATGGTTGCATGTATCTTTACAAATCCCACCACATGAAACTTCTGTGGCATGTCTATAAAAGGTCACTCTCACGTTGTTGCGGAGTGAGTATGGTTTTATGCCGCTTTCAGCAATGGCCCAGAAATATGGCAGGGAACACCAGAAATGGGCATCACACATTGTCAGGGGCGTAGCTACCGTTATAGAAAAAAGCCCGGGCTTACACATGATTGTTGCTTAAAAGGTTGGGCAAGCCCTCAATACCATCTACATTTAAAGCTTTGCAGCCTGTCGGGCGTACACGAAAAAATTGGCTTGCTACGCGCTTGATTGTACCCATGTGAAGAATCAAACCCTAGCGCCAACTATTCCAACTATTACCAACTATTCTTGCAATTTTGCTTATACAATCCTATGATTTGACCTTGATTACCTTATGAAGTTGTCTTTAATATGAGATCAAAGTATGGAGGTAATGTTTTTAGAATGGAAATATGCAGTATGTTTGTTTACGTACTTGCAAACACCCCAAGTTAGGTTAACGATTCAGAAACAAATGTAATCTTCCATTCCTCTCTATACATTGTTATAACAACAGAAGTAATGTGCTGTCTGTTCTGTTGCAGCTTCATCATCTGGCCCGAAATGACATCCTTCTAGGGGGCACACAGGCAGTGAGTTACCATGGTTACTGGGTAGAAACCTGATGGGAGGTGGGAGTTAAAGTGCATGGTGGTAGCCTGGTCCTGCGGCCCAAACATCATTATTTTCTCCACGTATCTTTTCCTAGATTAATCTAGTCTCTGAAATGAACATATTTTGCTGAGAACGATTCATAAATAACAAGAAAAATCTTTAAAAGGCAACAATGGAGGGAGAAGGACGTGAGATAATTTCGGATGTGAAGCTGATTTCAAGAGTATCACAGTATCTATAAGAGACTTGCTCCGTCTATTAGAGGCTTGCTTAGAGATAGGTACTCGCATCGCAAATACAGTACCCTCATCGCCAGTGTATGACATTTCATATCAAAGGTCTTTGTGATGCCTAACCATGTCTGAAAATGAAGTACTAGTGACGGACGGAGGAAACATGGTCCTATATACTGTTTCTATTTATGACGGATGGAGTTATTCAATGATCTTAAAGGGTTGTTTCCCTCTAAAGATGCGTCAGCTCCCTAAGGATCGGAAAGGGTGCCATACCCTAACCCTAAACCCTAACCTAATCGTAAACCTTAACCCTAACCTGAAGGAACGTAGACTGGCAGCAAAGGGAGACGGAGCAATTATCGCGATATAGCGAGACAGCCCTAGAGCGCGATAATTGCTCTGTCACGAACTCTCCAGCCAAGAAATTCATCAATCCCTATACAAAGTCCAAATCCAACTCGTTTCCATGTGTAAGACTTGTTCAGAAGTGCCACTGCCGGGCCAGCGTCTGTAGGCACGCATAGGTTCGCATAGCGATTACTAGGAGGGTATAACATGTACACTGAGCGCTCAGCCCTAGCGGTACTGTTACTGAACATGCCCCTCTAATGGGTGCTACTAAAATGGAATGGGTTTTCCAATTCTGCAATTCGAAATCATGCACTAAACTAGTACAAGTGTGCTCTATGACGCATACAATTGTTTAGAAATGAAAGTGTATCAGTTTATAAACGTTTTTGACCAGTAAAAACATAGAATGAAAACAGAAAACTCGTTTTCCACATTAACCATGAGGTAAACCGGGACAATTATTTCGGATTACCCACATGGTCACGTGGATCCTAATTTGCTACAGCTATATTCATTGCTCATTTGGAATTAAAATACAAAGAAACTGTGCATCATTGGCTGATTATTTTGAATATTCCAAGTGTACATATTGAGTGAAATTTCTCTTGAGAGACAAATTCATCCTGATTATAAGGTTGGAGGCGCAAATGAATCCAATCAATAATCCTAAAGTATAATGAAAAGGAGCCATGAGACTTTCTTCATTTACACATGAAAGAGAGGAAATCTAGACTTATATTCTAACACATATTCAAAACTTGCTTTGGCTTTCTTTGATATATAACATGAAATGATTTGGCCTGTTTGAGTGTCACCTAAATAATGGCATGTTTTATTACCCTGACAACATCAGGTCTGAAGGAAACTAGATGTCACCTGAATAATGTCATGTCTTACTACCCTGACAACATCAGGTCTGTAGGAAACTAAATGTCACCTGAAAAATGTAATGTCTTCCTACCCTGACAACATCAGGTCTGAAGGAAACTAAATGTCACCTGAATAATGTCATGTCTTCCTACCTTGACAACATCAGGTCTGAAGGAAACTAAATGTCACCTGAATAATGTCATGTCTTCCTACCCTGACAACATCAGGTCTGAAGGAAACTAAATGTCACCTGAATAATGTCATGTCTTCTTACCCTGACAACATCAGGTCTGAAGGAAACTAAATGTCACCTGAATAATGTCATGTCTTACTACCCTGACAACATCATGTCTGAAGGAAACTAAATGTCACCTGAATAATGTCATGTCTTCTTACCCTGACAACATCAGGTCTGAAGGAAACTAAATGTCACCTGAATAATGTCATGTCTTACTACCCTGACAACATCATGTCTGAAGGAAACTAAATGTCACCTGAATAATGTCATGTCTTCCTACCCTGACAACATGGATCGTTGTTCATGTCCGGGCTTCTTAAGCTTTCTTTGCAGGCCACTAACATAGAGTTGACTGTGGTGTAGGACACCATTATTAAATCATCCGTCCCTGTATGTTTGTTGCCATATAAGACCTGTGACTAAGACATTTGTAGGGTCAGTTTATGATATTTCTGTCTGCATATGGTTTGTACCTGAATGTATGCCATGTCTCAATGTCCTCACTGCAGACACCAGAGCCAAGTGATGAGGCGATGGAGACAAGTGTGAAGATTGCCAAGTTGCTGGTGGAAAATGGCTGTGATCCAAAGGCTGTCGATAAGAACAGAGTGTCGGCTATCATGGCAGCTATGAGAGTTGTAAGTCAGGCTTTAATAAATTATTTGCATCACATCATTATAGTTTTGTAACAAGAAAGTGCTAAGAGAATACCAAAATACCAAAATACAAAATCAAAATACCTCCCTCCACATTTTTAGTCCACCTGACTGATGTCAAGTGAAATGAAACCATGGCCAGTTTGAGTTCGATTTACAATATTTAGAAATTAAGGTATCTTTCTTGGCATTTTTACTGTTCACTACATTTCTAGGTGAGCTCTGTACCACTGTGCTTTAGCACGCTGGGTGAAAATCTACTAATTGAATTACTTGGGACTTATTAAGTTAATTATCTTTCTTTTATATTCTATCCTTTTGTTTCTTTTTTTTTGTTTCTGAGGAAGCATTTCCTATTCTACCTGATTTTTGATACGTGTATTATTTCCGCAAAGTCGTGATATACATATGAGGTGGTAGAACACCTCAGAAGGTATATGCGCTTCAGAAGGTATATGCGTTTTCTGCAGCTGAAAATGCCCTGTGATAGTTGTAACAATGTTTTAGTAAAAATATTGTAGAAATAAAATAACTCGTATTTTTTCTGTTATACGCAGCCTACAACTTGCTTGCATTCAGGAATTGTGTCATTTAAAGGTCACATGCAACCAAAAAATCGAACATAATTATAACACAATTATCACTTATTCATGAAATATTATATACATTGCTGATTATGAAAAAACATATAAACAAAATTATAAGCGAACAATCGCAAATCAAAAGTGCAATATATTGTACTTGGGTTACTTCCCTAGAAACGAAGCAGCCGGGATACCGAACCCAGTCAGAGCGGGTGGGTGTGCACTCAAGTGTAACGGCTGGTTCATTTGCAGATGCTCTCACGGCTCATTGTGTGTGTATATATATAGATGTTGGGTTTTGTAAATACATGCTCATTTTTGTGTATAACATTTTGCAATCAACAGACATCATAACATGTCATGTGTACAAGTATCACACCTGCCTGTCTGTGTAATTACATAATGTGACAGAGACCGAACTCGGGCCATAAATCAATGCGTTTTGTTAATGGTGTATGGCCTGATAGGTGTTAAGTTCAAATTGCATGTGGTCAGTGATAGAAGTTGTGTATTGAATATTGTCTTTAGCAGACAGGCAGGCAGACACACAGGTGTCAATAAAACAGACATTGAGTTTTGTCTGTGACAACGACATATCTATATCACAGTTAGAAATTCTGTCAACCCTAAAAGATGGCGTTGCTTTTAAGTATCGAACTGAGAAAGTGACTCGGTAAGAAGAACGTGTGGTGAAAAGACAAATGAAAGTATATAAACAGTTAAATCGGTAATCTACTGTCATAACATAAAAAGCTCGCGCCTGTGAAATATCAACAAAACATTAGAAAAATAGCTCACACCAAAGCCTTCACCGAGTATTCACCGGACAACCCGCTTCCAAGCTGCGCGAACCTATTTCACTGCGCATGTGCTATGAGCGCAGCCTAGCGCAGCGCAGTCCAGCTGTTGAATCCACTTTTCCCCCAAGCGCTGGGGGGAAATTAGTGAATCGTTTGAACTCCGATTTCGCGTGTTTTTTTTCATCGCGTTATTTTTCAACTTTGTAAGTTGAATTTGCATTTGTGATGATTTGTTTCGGTAAGTCCATACCGAAAGGTATCAGAATCTACAAAGTTGTGTTTTACGTTGCATGTGACCTTTAAGCGTTCCGTTCACACCTTTTTCAATGTTTTATGCGTGTTAAATGGGTATTGTTATAGTTGTGATTGTTGGTTGTTAGTGTAGTGATTAGCACGTTTGCTTTCAGGCCTTTCCTGTCTTAAAGGGGCGGGGCACGACCCTTGCTTGATTTCACCCACCCACCATCCAAGGCGTGCAAGAGTCGTGCGGCCGACTTCATGTTCTTTATGGAGCTCCTGAGTTTTCGGGAGTAGGGTTCTGCTCCCTGCTCGGTTTCCGGAGTGGAGCGTCTCCCGGAGCCCTTCTTTCCCCTGACAGCCTCAATGCAGTTTTTGGCTATTCAGTTATCGTCCTCCGAAAGGACGCTGAAGGTTGGGGAGGTGAAGGGCTCCGAGGGGGCGTTCCACTGTTCTATGGCAATGAGAAGTTCATCAGTGGATTGTCATCGTGCTACCTGAAGCAATACATGGTACCGTTGGCGTATCAGGACTCATCAAGTCCCGCCTTCTATGGGAGGCCTTTGCCTTTAGGCATTCATCCCAAACTCAGCTCCGCGTTCTACCGTCACTGGTCTAGAACGTTTGTCGACCCCCTGCTTTCAAGCAGCAGGAACCGCTCTGACTTGCATGAGTTTGTCAAGCAGTACCAACTCAGGGTAGACAAACTGTTCCAGGTACTGGTGGTGATGAATGCGTTTTCACCTCGGTCACACTGGGGGAGGTTCGGCCTCCTTTTTAGCGACTCTGGCGGCTAAACATGGCTGACAGATTCCGCCATTTTCCCGTTCTGTATGCGGCGTACCAATTTTCTGAGGAGCAATTTCAGTTCTCCTATGTCAGTTGAGGTCTGCCGCATGGCTGTCATCGTCTCGCTTCATGACAGCTGCACAGCAGATCCTACTGGCCCTCCCCTTTTCGGATGTTTTCTGGGGCTGAGCAAGTTATTTGGGAGTCTGTGGAGGCAGCTACCCACTTCAAGGAGTCTAAGGCCTTTCTGGAGCAGCCATGACTAGCTCACGCCCTCGCTTCCATGGCTGTTCCTTCTATGACGCAACCTACGTCCGACACTCCCAGCTGGTTCTGATCGCTGGGTAAGAGTAGGAGGAAGGGCCGTGCTAAGGGTAGGGTGAAAAGGTTGCCCAGCAGCCTTTTAGCAGGAATATGGGGGTCAGGCCCAACCCCCTGCTCGGTCTGCATAGCGCTCAGTTTGTGTCGGCTCTACTCTGTGTTTTTCCCAAGGAGACCCACTCACTCTTACCCGAGTAAGACGGTCTGTATGCGAGTTTTCAATTGTTTGAAGAGAGTCTTCCTTGGCGATGGACTTCCCATCTCCCCGCAATTCGGTTCTGGGATGTTTATTGTCAGCAGAAGGAATGATGGTTTGTAGCACGGATACACTTAGCTACCCACGCATGCGTGGTTAGGGATGTAATCCCACGTGGTTCGGGTCGTATAACAGACAGAAAACGAGTTTTTTATTTGTACAATATTTTTATTAAAACATTCTTACTACTGAGACGGGACATTTTCGACCGCAGAAAAACGGCATATACACTAAACGCAAAAAGAAGCGTTACCCTCCTTCCTTAATGACAGAGGTACCTATCTTCAACTGGCGTTGTGATGTGTGGACGTCCACTTCTTGGTCTGTCGACGGTGACCCCAGTCTGTCTGAAGCCCTGAATAAGTATTATAACCGTGATACGGTGGCATCCGAGGGCGTTGGCAACAACATTGTATGTCGACCCCATCTGCACCATCCCAATGGCTCTTTCTCTATGTTTCTAGTATTTGTGTATCATATCATCTTTTCTAGGCTCTCTTTATACCCTATAGAATCATTTTACATGTGAAATGGGTGCAAATACTGCTTGAATATTGCTGCCTTTTGGCGACTGATATTGCTATGTGTAAACAGAAAATGGAAAAATGTTACTTTGCAAAGAAAAATGTTAACAGGAGATCATTGTAGATGTTCCTAAACATTTTTTCACAATATCAAAGACACGTTTTACTTGTTTTCACTAATGCAAATCAGCAGAAAATGTTTTAAAAGGCTGAAATCATAGGAATGATTATCTTACAATTTTACACACTCTCCAACAGTTGTTTCTTGTTTTAATAGTTGAATAATGGTGACTTTAAATGGTTTAACTTTGTCCCAAAGCAGAATTTTATTTCAACCTTTCTTTTGGACATCAAAATCACTGTTTTTGGTTTATTTCGGCATAGGACAATTTAACTCTTCCGAAAAAGATGCATTTCACCTAAATATGAATGCATTTGAGATTTTTTTCGTGATTTGCATAAAGCTGAATTGTTAAGCTTTCTTGTAAACTAATACCTTCTAACATATCCTTGATAGTTTTTAAGTTATTCATAAAGGTAGGAGGGTAAGGTCTTTTTGGCGTTAATTGTATATACCCCAGGGAAGACTCTCTTCAAAGAATTGAAAACCCCTACGGATTTGGCTAAATTGTCTCCAGAGAGATTTCACTGCTGGGAAACGCCTGGGGAGATGAAGCTCCAAGTAACCACACTTGTTCCAAGGCCTAACTAGTAAGAGAGTGGTGGTCTGAATGTATGACAGGTCTCAGTGTGTCTCATAATTTTTTGATGTAGTGGATATTTATTCGTTCTTTTGACCACTGGTTCTGCTGCCACAGACTTGATTCTTTTCAGGTTGAGGAACTTGTGAATAAGTGAATGAGCTTTGCAGGTTTTAAACAGTATACGAGTGTTCTCAGTTTGTTGAAGGGGAATTACAAGAAGTGATCTGGGTTATAGACCTTTACCAACTGATGAAGTCATTCGAAAATTTATAAACCACACCATGATTCATAATTAGGGCAGATTTGAATGGTTACATCACACTATCATAGATTCTTGAACACATAAGGGAAGCTTCTCCTTACATAAGATGATGAGGTTACCAATACCGTGAAAAGCTTTGTATAACTGAAATCACACGAAGAATCATAAACCACACCACGATTAAAAAATTAGGGCAGAATTGAGAATCCATCTCACTATCATAGAGTCCTGAACACCTAAGGGTAACTGCTCTTCACCTAAAATGATGAGGCCGCCAATCAATATCGTGAAATGGTTATGTTAATATAACTCCACTGTGTTGAACATTTACTCCGTACATAGGTGGAAGTAATGTTTTGTGATACAACATTCATGTCCTCACCCATTCCAGATATTTTGATTTGTCGTCTCATTGTAAACAAGCCTAATTCCTCTGTTGTTGTTTTTGTTCCCAGGGCAACGTTCAGCTGGTTGTGTTTCTGCTGAAGAAGGGCAGCCCAATCTTTACAGACCTGGGCAAAGAGGGAGAAACCATCCTCCATTCCCTGTGTTATGACCACATGGAGTCCATGAAGGACTATCTTGCTGTCCTTAAATGCGTTGTTTCAAAGGTGAGCTTCTCACTTCTACTCCATGAAGGACTATCTTGCTGTCCGCTAATGCATTATTTTAAAGGTAAGCCTCTCACTTCTATTCATTGAAGAACTACCTTGCTGTCTAACATATGTTATATTTGGGATTACACTTTCTTAGTAAAGTACAAATTCTAGTACTTTTTGAGTTGAGCCCCATCCGGGATTCGAACTCACACCCTCAGAGTCAGGCATCTAATCGCCAGCACACAAAGTCAGCCGGCTAACCAGCTCAGCTACCGCGACTTCCACAAATTATAGAATTTGTACATTACTAAGAAAGTGTAATCCCAAATATAACATATGATACATTTGACCGCTTTCTAAATGACATTGTGTAATCATACCTTGCTGTCCGTGAGTGCATTGTTTCAAAGAGAATCATTTTGATTATAATTATCTCCTAGACACTATATATTCGACACTGACCACAGCATCATGTAATGAGTGGTCTTTCCATGCAGGATGCAGCACAGAAGAAAGCTTTCATAGAAATGGCGAAGACCTTCTGCAATGATGGCAGTACTCCACTACTGGCTGCCTGTCAACAGTACAACGTCTGCAAGGTAATGTCAGGACTTAGCGTCAAAGTTTTACAATATCTTTATATAATTTCAAAATCTCTTTTCACCTTATTCTCAACCCTCATACCATGCCAGGATAATAAATGGTCAGTCCCTACTGATTATCTTGGCCCTGATTATCGTGTTCAAAATAGTTTGTGGGTGTTGGGAACTTATGTTCTCTTCTTGGGCAGGGATTCACCTGTGGGTATTGTGGGTAAGAATATAGGGCCTCCGTAACGTATTCTTGTCAAAAGAGTGAGTAAGTGAGTTTAGTTTTACGCCACACTCAGCAATATTCCAGCTATATGGCGGCTTGTCAAAACAAGTGGCTGAATGGATTGGCTGGTTGGGGTCTTAGACTATGTAGATTATTGATCCTACGCATGCTCATGTTTGTAAGATATGATTTTCTGGTCCATTATTTACAGGCTACTGGCATATGGCGTAATTGGTCAACAGTAAATTAATGAATTGAAGCGAACAGATTGACAATGTTATTTTAAGAAATGCGCACTGTGCTACTTGTTTGTCTCATTGTAATTATAATTTGAGCTCAATAAGTTGTTCACGTACATGCATGAAGTTAGCATGAAATCAGTGAACGATTTGTTTGCAGCCACATCAAATGTTAAAAATTGAGCTTAAAGAGGTGAAGAGAAAATGAAACTAAACATAATAATTTGAGTCACAACAAGCCGCTTCTTGATTCTGTCTGTCTTGCACAAAATATAACTGACATGAGTGCAAAGGGCAGACAAATTCTTGGGGAAATTCTTTGAATACCAAGATTGTTCTAATTTGCTTTTTGGAAACATTTCCTTTCTGCAGAAAAAGCTGAGTTCATCTGACAGCAAGGAGGATAAGATAGCCGGAAGATTGTTGTGGAAACGTGGACGTGATTTCATCAAGTATCTGATTGATGAATTGAAGTCTGATGTGAATGTCATCGTATGTGAGAAGCGTTATGAGAAGGAGGAGGACAAGCCGGAGAAGCAAGAGGACAGATACTACGGTGGCTGGGGTAAGGGTGGCTGAAGGAGACCTGGGGAGGAAAGAAGACTAGGAGATGACAGGAAGGGATCGGAAATAAATGGAAATGGATGAGAGGGATGGAATCTGACAGGAAGGGTTGGGAAATGGACGTATGGGCTGGAAGCGGACAGGAAGGGTTGGGAAATCAATATCATGGGTGGGATCTGACAGCCAGGGATGGGATTTGGTTGAGATGACTAGGCGCTGGCCGTAAGGGTTTGGAAATGGATGAGAGGATTGGGGGCTTGCAGTAAGGCTTTGGAAATGGATGAGAGGATTGGGATCTAACAGGAAGAGATGGAACATGGATAGGATGGTTGTGATCTGACAGGAAGTTATAGGACATGGGTGGGAAATGAATGAAAGGACGGGGAGCATACAGGAAGTGTTGGGAAATGGATGGGATATGGGTTGGAAATGGATGAGAGTATTCGGATCTGACAGGAAAGGTTGGGAACTGAATCGGAGTACTGGAAGGGTTAGTTTATAGATGGGAAATGAGTTGGAAATGGATGAGATGACTGGGAACTGACAGGAAGGGATGGGAAATGGCTATTATGGAGAGGAAGATTCCAGGAAATAGCTGTGAGGACTGATCAATGAAATAAGTCATAGCATTTTTACAGCTATTTCATAAACCTTAAAGGACCAGTGTTTTGGAGAATTAGAGATGCGAGTACTTTGTTTGTGTCTCAGGCAAATGGTCGGTGGCTGAAATGCTGGCAGATGTTGAATCTTGTGAGTATTGTGGTTCACGAGAAGGAATGGAAGAAGAGTGGCCAGCTCTCCGAATGATCCTCAAGTACAAGCCTGACATGAATACTCGTGACTGTGAGGGGCACACAGCACTCACGAGGGCCGTCGAAGGCAGATATATGGTGCCAGCTTACCTACTGGTATGTATTCGTGACATGTACTTTTGGTGTGTACTCATGGCATGGAAGAAAATTTGGTAAAATCGATGTTTTGTTAGTCTCATGGCACAGGATGAAGATTGCATTTTAATGCATCTGTTGAATAGCAATAATATTTTGTGTATGTACAACAATAACATAAAAATCCACAAGAATAATGCATTTACCAGCTAATTTATGACAATCACCAGGAAGTAATTCATAACAGCGAAGGTATTCTTCGCAGATTTGTTATGTGTAATAATATCTTGATTTCACAGAATGTAGGAACAAAGTAGTGTTATCATAAAATAAAAGAAATGCCAATAATTAGGACTCAGAAAATGCAAATGTTAAATATACTGTTTTTCAGTTTCATGTGTGTTGATAAAGATAACTCCATGTTTTCAGGTCAAGGAAAGCAATGCAGATGTGAATGCCTATTACATCAAGGAGGAGAATGGGAAGAAGTACAAAATCTGGACAGTTGTCATAGCAGCTATGTGGGTTAAAGATTTATTTTTGAAAGAATTTATGTGGTGTTTTGATCTTTGTGTTGAGATCAAATTGTTGCTGTTTTGTGCTGTTGGGTCCAATATTTGATAAACTGCTGTCAATTGATTGATCGAAGTTTTGTGCTGGCGGATTCTAATGGCTTCCAAACGTTTTCTTTTGTGATGTCTTGGTGGATAGGATTTCGAATTTGTCAGACTCGTTATGATGGATAGGGAATTATTGTTGGTCATCTGAGAGGGCTGATTTGCTGTCTGTCTTGACTGCTGGGGTTTTATGTTCTTTCATGCGGATATCAACGGGACTCAACGGGACGGGAGGTTTCACCTGTTTTAGATTCACTACATTCACAGGTGCTTTCTGGAGGGTTGATTACCGACATTGGCTCGGAGGATGGTCCTGAGGGTTGGATGAGGGTGTCGATGCCTGCTTGGTGCTTTAGTAGTCTACTGATTTGATGGGAGGTCTTGCCAGTGTTGGGTAGTTTAATTCGGATGGGACGGATTCAGGCTTGGTCAGTTTGGGTTTGTTCTGGATTGTGGTCGAGATGGTCACCTCTTGACAAAACTGGACAATTATGTACCACTTGTTATTCAATTACGTGTTTTTTTAAAGATTAATCTGCTGTTTGTCATAATATACCATTTTATCTGCTGTTTGTCAAACATACTATGTATATATACTTCTTATCATATTGTTGAAGTTATTGTAAGCTTGATGACAGCGTAAAAAAACCAAGAAGTTGTCATCCATAAAGTTTTTTCATCTTCAGAAGATTGGAGTGCTGTGGCATTTTTCATAACTTTGTGACTGTATATATGTTGAGCTCCTTTGCAAATCGCATTTGTTTGGCAATTTTATGCAAAGGGACGGAAGATGGATTCCTCAAGTACACCCTGTCATAATTGTTTTGTGCTTTGCATCATCAGCACAGCCAACTGTGAGCTCCTGTCGTTAATGGTGAATGCCTCTGCGAACCTGGATGTGATTGATGAGAGGGACGGCAGTGGGCCTCTCCATGCTGCCATCATCAAGGGAGACCAGGCATCTGGTATGCTGTCACACATTAGACCTACCCATTTTTCAGTTACATTTTATGTGATGGCCTGTTCAGTCTATTAGGGGTAGCCTAATGGTTAAAGTGTCCACTTATCATGCTGAAGACCGGGGTTCGATTCCCCACCTGGGTAGAATATATGAAGCCCATTCTGGTGTTCACCGCTGTGATATTGCTTGAATTTTGCTACAAACGGCGTAACACCATACTCACTCACTCACATCAGTCTTATTGAAATCAAATGTTTGCTCAAATTCAACACCTATCTGTGAATTGAGAATGTGTTCTGTCAGTTCCGTGGCTTCAATATTGTCAGTATGAGTGAGTGACTGGCACATCTGGTTTTGTTCTGTATCTCAAAAATATAATCTGGACACAGTGCCATTATATTGATATTAAAGTGTCATTATGTTGATATTAAACAGTGGCATTATGTTGATATTAAACAGAACCATTATGTTGATATTAAACAGAACCATTATGTTGATATTAAACAGAACCATTATATTGTGGATGTCTTCTTCACACTGTTGTTTCTGTGAGTATGAAAGGAGTATGGACAAAGGAATACTTCTTTTCTGTGTCAATTTTCATTCACACAAATCAAATCTCCAACCTTAGGTTGTACAGAAGTGAAGAAAAACTTTTAGTACTTGACTGTGTACTTTGCTGTGGAAGTGTACGTAATGCCGAATACAGCACGTATTTAACCACTTTCTAAAATGCACTGTGTATTCCTACGTTGGATTCCTTTTGGAATCGGCTTAAATGTATTGGATTTTCAAACAGTCAACAATCAACATTCAATGCCTATAATAAGATGTAAGTCTCACAGTTCAAATGTAAAACCTCACAGCATGTCTCACTTGAATATACTTGAATGTATTTCCTGGCACAAGGTTGCTATAAGTGACCACATATCTGCAGTACAACAGGCAACAGTGGCAGGAGGTTCTTAAGCCCTTTGCAACGGTCACTCCATGACACAACTGTGTAATTCGTCATATGGTAATAAGGCTAGGCTCACTCACTCACTCATCACTATGTGTAATTAAACATCATGCCATCTGAATCCTCAGGTACACTGGAGATGATGAAGGTTCTTCTCAGTCACGGAGCTGATGTGAATAGTCTGAACAAGAAGCTCCGGACGCCGCTTCACCTTGCTGTTGATTACAACCCGGGAAACACGTACAACTTTGACCTTGTGCGGTCCCTCATAAACAAGGGCGCGGACTTGACGATCAAGGATGTGCGTGGCCGGATACCCTTGCATTATGTGTTTGTCAAGAGAGGGAAGTAGGTTGGATTTTACTATATCTCATAATCAGAAATTAACTGACTGTCAAACTGATCTCCAAGAATAAAATGCTGTCATCTTTGCAGCAATTAAGTCTACATTCCTGACAGAGAATGTGAGTCACGTGGTATACAGACAGGTTGCATCAGAAGGCCATTTACATAGTGTGTCCTCTAGCATGAGATTCACAACATTAAGTATTGCAGAATTAGTGTCTTAATTAATTCTGTAAGTTTGATCCTGTGTAAGACGTTCAAACCATGTATGTTTTCTGTTGTATGAAAAAATAGGAAAGGACGAACACTAGCACTGAAACTTAACTGACTTACAGACTGTTAGACATGCAGAAATAGCGAAATGCTGCGGACGTTTTGTGGAGTGGTACCCTGATATATCATTTCTAACAACAAGCAGGGGTCACTTGGGACAGGTTATACCCTGATTTCCTTCAGTCCTGAGTATGATATTTTGTCATATTTGCAGACACACAGACAGCTACCAGCGTGATCCAGTAGAGCTGTGTCGTATGGTCGCCGCCAATATGAAACCAGCGGACATCAACACTCAGGACAAGTTTGGGTGTACACCTCTTCATCGGGCAGCCTTCAGGGGAGCTAACATCTGTTGTATGTACCTGATGCAGGTGAGTCGACGGCCAATGCCTGTTGTATGTACCTGATACAGGTGAGTCAACGACCAATGTCTATTGTATGTACCTGGTGCAGGTGACTTGACAGTCAATGTCTGTTGTATGTACCTGATGCAGGTGAGTTGACAGTGAATGTCTGTTGTATGTACCTGGTGCAGGTGAGTCGACGGCCAATGTCTGTTGTATGCACCTGATGCAGGTGAGCCAACGGCCAATGTCTGTTGTATGTACCTGATACAGGTGAGTCGACAGTCAATATCTGTTGTATGTACCTGATGCAGGTGAGTCGGCAGTCAAAATAGAGTTACTCGCACTGTGTTTTCTGAAATCACAGGACCATTGAATCGAAAACTTCGCATACTTGTTCCCATCAATTAAGGCACCTCGATTCGTTCAAAAGGTTTAAGCCTGAATAACAATATTACTTAAACTTATGCATTTTGGATTGCAGATGGGTGCTGACGTGAACTTGAAGGATAACCATGGCAACACTCCATTGACAATGGCTGTTAAGGGCCACCATGAAAGGTAAGTACAAGTAAGACTTGTCAAAACATCAACTCTAAATATACCGTTTTGGTGATGTTTTAAATCTTGATATTAGTTGTTCAAATTGTTTAAACCATTTCATGGCTCATCATCTACCGGTTACTCCACGTCCAGCTCCGTGTCAGACCTATAACACATGCCAGCCAGTCTCCTGGCCCTGTCCTTTTTTCTTTATATACTCCTGGCTCTGCGTCCACCTTTGTGTCAGACCTAAGCCTCTTGCGAGCTGGTCACCTGGCTCCAACTCATCAGCTCCACGTCCAGCTCTGTGTTATCATAACTTGCTTGATAACGGTGTTAGTACCTACACCGAAACCTCGCACTCAGTGAAGTAAAGAAGTTGACAAACCATAGACCTTGGCTTTCCTTCAACACAATAATGGCTTAGATTACAGTTTAAGAACAAAATTAATTTCTTCAACATGTCTTTACATGCATTTGAATATGGCTACCAGTCATTGCAGTTATGTTTATGAACCTGTGCTGATTTGACTGGACTGGTCTTTATTGGGGATCATATGTTTCATGTGGTTCTGTTTCATCAAGTTGTGCCTGTATGCTGATCCGAAATGGAACATGTCTGAAGGACCCTGTTGTGGAGGTCAAATCGGATACTGGGCAGAAGCATGACAATGTTGAAGTTGAAGGAGGAGATACAGATGAGGTGAAGAAGGAGAACCTCATTAAAACACCTCTCCTTGAGGTAAGTCCCTAACTGAAAAGTGAATGAATCCTATTCCCAAAATAGTGTCTCTCAAACTCATCTCACCACATATCCACCCATCCACTGTCCGGCTCATGTCTCCAACAATCCATGTCTGTCCTTCACTATCCAGCTCATCCCTCCAACAATCCATGTCTGTCCCTCACTGTCCAGCACATGTCTCCAACAATCAATGTCTGTCCCTCACTGTCCAGCTCATGTCTCCAACAATCAACGTCTTTCCCTTACTGTCCAGCTCATCCCTCCAACAATCAATGTCTATCCCTCATTGTCCAGCACATGTCTCCAACAATCCATGTCTATCCCTCTCTGTCCAGCTAATGTCTTCAACAATCCATGTCTATCCCTAACTGTCCAGCTCATCCCTCCAACAATCAATGTCTGTCCCTCACTGTCCAGCTCATGTCTCCAATAATCAATGTCCATCCTCTCTGTCCAGCTCATCCCTCCAACAATCAATGTCTATCCCTCACTGTCCAGCTGATGTCTCCAACAATCCATGTCTGGCCCTCACTGTCCAGCTCATGTCTCCAACAATCCATGTCTATCCCTCACTGTCCAGGTCATGTCTCCAACAACCCATGTCTATTCCTAACTGCCCAGCTCATGTCTCCAACAATCCATGTCTGTCCCTCACTGTCCAGCTCATGTCTCCAACAATCCATGTCTATCCCTCCCTGTCCAGCTCATGTCTCCAACAATCCATTTCTGTCCCTCACTGTCCAGCTCATCCCTCCAACAATCAATGTCTATCCCTCACTGTCCAGCTCATCCCTCCAACAATCAATGTCTATCCCTCACTGTCTAGCTCATCCCTCCAACAATCCATGTATATCCCTCACTGTCCAGCTCATCCCTCCAACAATCCATGTCTATCCCTCACTGTCCGGGTGATGTCTCCAACAATCCATGTCTATCACTCTGTCCAGCTCATGTCTCCAACAATCCATGTCTATCCCTCACTGTCCAGCTCATGTCTCCAACAATCCATGTGTATCCCTCACTGTCCAGGTCATGTCTCCAACAATCCATGTATATCCCTCACTGTCCAGGTGATGTCTCCAACAATCCATGTCTATCCCTCACTGTCCAGCTCATGTCTCCAACAATCCATGTCTATCCCTCACTGTCCAGCTCATCCCTCCAACAATCCATGTATATCCCTCACTGTCCAGGTCATCCCTCCAACAATCCATGTCTATCCTCACTGTCCAGGTGATGTCTCCAACAATCCATGTCTATCCTCACTGTCCAGGGTGATGTCTCCAACAATCCATGTCTATCCCTCACTGTCCAGCTCATGTCTCCAACAATCCATGTCTATCCCTCACTGTCCAGCTCATCCCTCCAACAATCCATGTCTATCCCTCACTGTCCAGCTCATGTCTCCAACAATCCATGTCTATCCCTCACTGTCCAGGTGATGTCTCCAACAATCCATGTCTATCCCTCACTGTCCGGGTGATGTCTCCAACAATCCATGTCTATCCCTCTGTCCGGCTCATGTCTCCAACAATCCATGTCTATCCCTCACTGTCCAGCTCATCCCTCCAACAATCCATGTATATCCTTCACTGTCCAGCTCATGTCTCCAACAATCCATGTCTATCCCTCACTGTCCAGGTCATGTCTCCAACAACCCATGTCTATCCCTAACTGCCCAGCTCATGTCTCCAACAATCCATGTCTATCCCTCACTGTCCAGCTCATCCCTCCAACAATCCATGTATATCCCTCACTGTCCAGGTCATGTCTCCAACAATCCATGTCTATCCCTCACTGTCCAGGTGATGTCTCCAACAACCCATGTCTATCCCTCACTGTCCAGCTCATGTCTCCAACAATCCATGTCTATCCCTCACTGTCCAGCTCATGTCTCCAACAATCCATGTCTATCCCTCACTGTCCAGCTCATGTCTCCAACAATCCATGTCTGTCCCTCACTGTCCAGCTCATGTCTCCAACAATCCATGTCTATCCCTCACTGTCCAGCTCATGTCTCCAACAATCCATGTATTTCCCTCACTGTCCGGCTCATGTCTCCAACAATCCATGTCTGTCCTTCACTGTCCAGCTCATGTCTCCAACAATCTATGCCTGTCCCTCACTGTGCAACTCATGTCTCCAACAATCCATGTCTAGCCCTCACTGTGCAGCTCATGTCTCCAACAATCCATGTCTTTCCCTCACTGTCCAGCTCATCCCTCCAACAATCCATGTCTTTCCATCACTGTCCAGGTCATGTCTCCAACAATCCATATCTTCCCTCACTGTCCAGCTCATCCTTCCAACAATCAATGTCTGTCCCTCACTGTCCAGCTCATTCCTCCAACAATCCATGTCTTTCCCTCTCTGTCCTGCACATGCCTCAAACAATCCTGTCTATCCCTCACTGTCCAGCTCATCCCTCCACAATCAATGTCTTTCCATCACTGTCCAGCTCATGTCTCCAACAATCCATGTCTTTCCCTCTCTGTCCAGCTCATCCCTCCAACAATCAGTGTCTTTCCATCACTGTCCAGCTCATCCATCCAACAATCCATGTCTATCCCTCACTGTCCGGCACATGTCTCCAACAATCAATGTCTTTCTCTCACTGTCCATCTCGTCTGTCCAACAATCCATGTTTACCCCTTTCTGTCCGTCTCATCTCTCCACTCATCTATCCAGGGATGAAGTTGATCTATCCTCATTTTATATTAGTGAACAATGACCCTTCTTTTTCCCCTTCAGTATGCTGTGATGAACGAGATCCAAGGAGTGTGCTTCTTGGTGTTGGCGGCGCCAGTGAAAGAATCAGGGTTTATAATTGCAGATGTCATTGAGGTGGGTGTTAACAGACTCTTGAAGCTTACATGCAACGCAAAAAACAACTTTGCAGATTCTGATACCTTTTGGTATGGACTTACAGTAATTAATTATCAAAAATGCAAATTCAACTTATAAAGTTGAAAAAAAGCGGGATGCCTGCCTGTCTGCTGATGACAATATGCAATACACAACTTCAATCATTGACCACATGCAATTTGAACTTAACACCAACAAGCTCTTCACCTTATACAAAACACATTGATTTATGATTCTCTCTCAGTCACATTATGTCATTACACAGACAGGCAGGTGTGATACTTGTGCACATGACATGTTATTATTTCTGTTGATTGCAAAATGTTATACCCAGAAAACCAAACACCCTATACACACACAAAGAGCCCTGGGCGCATCCGCAAATGAACCAGCCAATGAAAGACTTCGTTACACTTAAGTGCACGCTTACCCGCTCTGACAAGGTTCGGTATCCCGGGTACTTCGTTTCGAGGGAAGTAAACCCAATTACAAAATATTTCACTTTTGATTTGCGTTTGTATGGTTATAATTTTGTTTATTTGTTTTTTCATAATCAGCAATGTATATTATGTGTCATGAATAAATGATAATTGTGTTTTAATTATGTTTATTTTTTTGGTTATTTATCATTATTTATTTTTTTATTATTATTTACTGCACGTTGCTGTACCCGCAACTAGGTGTTTGCACGTATTCATGTGGCAACCATCTGGTCATATTCCACCGGATTCGTGGGTTCTTTTAAGTGCACAGGGCTGTGTACTGTACACTAGGGGTTGTGACAACACTGAAAGAGTCTACACACAAAGTTGACTGCAAGGTTTTTACACCCGGTCACAGGTGGGCTCGATCCCGACACCTCAACCTTGCTGGATCACTAGCCTGGCGCCTTAACCAGCTCGCCCACCGCGCTTTAACCATTCTTGGAAGATATATCGTTTCTTAATCTTTGGGCAGGAACTGTAACCAATGCACAATGCCAATCACAAGAGGTGACTGTGGGAGGACGTGATGCTTATAAGATTTGACCATGTTAGATTTCTGTAATCATATCCCAACAGCTGGGATCATAAACAGTCAGAAACATAGTATCAAAAATGAGTGGACCTTCACAAACACTTTGAGTGGGTGAGTGGGTGATTGAGTTTATTTTTACGCCGATTTTAGCAATATTCCAGCAATATCACGGTGGGGGTGGGGTGTGTGTGTGTGAGGGGGGACACCAAAAATTTGGTTCACACATTGTACCTTTGTGGGGAATCGAACCCGGGACTTCAGCGCGAGGAGCGAACGCTTTAACCACTAGGCTAACCCACCGCCCCCATTAAACACTTTGAGGTTTGACACAACCATAAATATAATGATGACTTAAGAAGGAATGAGTAAGGTCGAGACTTCTATTTCGAGACCACCGTAGCTTCAACACATCAGCGTTTGACAGTACTTGTCACATATTGTTCCCCATGCCCAGACAATACAATTCACAAGTCACTTTGATATAGCTGATATATTGTTAGCTATTATATTAGACAAAGTATTCACATACCCACTTAGCAGAGCATTTATATCTAAAAGTTGCATTCATTTCCAACGTTCTTCGTTCCATGTATCAAAGTTAGACTGCATGCAGTATTCTGTTTAAATTGTGAAAAATAATCTAAACATTTAAGGTATATTTGTTCCTTATGTGTGGTGTGTTCCAAATGCATACAATCTTTGTATTTTGACTAACTGTGGTATATTTTATATTGCATGAGACTTTCTGACGTTAACTTGTCATGCATTACGTGTGTATTCCTAAACAGGAAGTGATATCATTCAACAAGAACAACTAGTTAGTAGCTAGCGCTTGTACATTCTTGTTTGTGTTTACAGAAGGAACTGAAGCTAGAAAAGTACAGATTCGTTCTGCGACTCCTGCGACTTGCCACGGAAACCCATGTGGAGTCACTATGCAACATCCGTGAACATGGACGTAACCTCATTCACATCCTAAGCCTCTTTGCCACAAAGTTTGATGATCTCGCTTACTTGGTGAGCCTGTTACACAATACGATGTTGATATGTAAAGGCACTTCAATGAAAGTATCATTTATTTACAGATAAATAGCGAGCGAAACTATTTGCTTATATTGGGCTCCCTGTCCTTTGTAGGACCTTGTGGTTAAAACGTTCGCTTAACAGGCTGATGACCAAGGTTTGCTTCTCATATTGGTTCTATCTGTGAAGTCCATTTCTGGTGTCCCCATCCGTTGTATTGCTGAAATATTGCTGAAAGCAACATAATACCTTATTCAGTCACTCTGCAGTTATATGGGTATTGTGGTGATTGGTTGTAAACCTGACTAAATGAGGATTGGGTGGTTGCAGTTTGTGTACCTGGCAGTGTGTCTTGCTGGTTAGATGGCCTGGCATGTTGCTGATGATAATAACCTGTGCTCCTTCTGGTCTAGGATTGATTATCAGCAGGCAGCTGTAGGAATTCTGGTTACTGTAACCCAGGAACTATGTTTGCAATAGGGTTTCACCAGTGAGTGCTTTACCTTGTCCAGATATCATTGTCTACAGCTGCATTATGTGGTGGAATAATTTGTTAGAAATGCAGCTGCATTATTTTGATGGAATATTGTGTTAAAGATATAGCTACGTTACGTGGTGGAATATTGTGTTAAATCTACAACTGCATTATGTGTGTGGAATATTGTGTTAAAATGTATAGGTTGCATATATTGGTAGAACATGATGTTAAATATACATCTACATTTTGTGGTGGAATCTTGTGTTAAATCTACAGCTGAATTATGATGGTGGAATATTGTGTTAAATCTACAGGCTGCATTACGTGGTTGAACATTATGTCAAATATGCAGCTGCATTATGTAGTGGGATATTGTGTTAATCTACAGGCTGCATTATGTGATGGAACATTGTGTTAAATTGACAGGATGCATTATGTGGTGCAATATTGTGTTAAATCTACAGGATGTATTATGTGGGTAGAATATTGTGTTAAACCTACAGGATGCATTATGTGGGTGAAACGTTGTGTTAAATCTACAGCTGCATTATGTGGGTTGAATATTGTGTTTAATCTACAGATGCATTATGTAGGTGCAATATTGTGTTAAATCTACAGGATGCATTTTAATAGTGAAATATTGTGTTTAATTGTAAAATGTTTTATCCACACAACCTTTGGCAACAACTCAGTCAGTTTGTGGGCTTCAATTAGGACTTGGATCTATGAGTGTATGATTGAAATTGTAAATTTAATGCAATGCTTTCATAAGAATACTGCGGTAGAGTAACAATTCCACGAGTGAGAGATGATAAAAAATGAAATGTTCATATTAAATTCTTGAATTGTGTCTCTTAAGATTCATGTAAATTGGATGGCAATAAGTCTGCTGATTATAGACATAAAAACATACGCACAGTGAAGGCCAAGGTCATGACCAACTGTGGTGTGCCCAATAGCTGGTCTGTGAATGTTGCCATTTAGTTTGTCATGATGTTTACAGTTTTTTAACTCATATGATTTCTGTAAGTGTTTATAGTGATGTGAAATAGACAAGAAATGTTTGTTTCTTCAGGTGTTGACCGAGCTGATTAAGAAGGGCCTGTCCCTGAGAAAGGAGGACGATTACAAGTGTACACCTATTCAGTACGCCTCCCTCAACAGGAACTATCAGCTGGCCGCGTTCTGCTTGGGTACAAATGTTTTTGACATATTTTTTCACTATTTTTATTATTTTTCACGAGCCAATTCAATATAAATATTGTTTACATTATTCTTATTTCATCTGTTTGATTGGCATTTTAGAAGTTGATGAGTAACAGGAGAGGTGGGATAAATTATGGATGACAACTTCTTTGTTATATTATGATGCGACATTCATAAATTTCCAGCTGAATTTAATGTGTTCACAAGGCAACTAAACTATTGTTAATATCTTGTTTTAGTCATGGAAAAAGATGTAATCTGATGGCTATTTTTTGCATTTTGTTTGAAAAGGACATGAAACAAAGCCATTTGGCAAATGAGTCTATGGTATTTATCGGCATGCAGTGAAGATGTTATACAAATAGAAAGAGTTAAGTTGGTTCTGTTCACCTCTGTGCCCTCTCTGCGAGATGTATGATGGATCATGGACAGACAGTCAGACAGACAGATATTTTATTCAGTATAAAGGCCAAAGGCCAATAATACAAAATAAATTGGTTGAAATAAGCGCACATAAAAGTGACAGGTTTATGTTTTCACAGTTGCAGCTCTAGTTTTATGTATACATTTAAAAAATCTACAAACATATATGATAATATTTTTATCTTTACTGTTAAGTATGTGTATTAAATTTTGTTTGCTAACATTATCATACAAAAATGGAGTAAAAACCTGTTTCTAGCATCATTATATAATTGACAATCAAAAAGGACATGTGTTTCATCTTCAATACAGTTCATATTATTTAATTTACTGTAAAAACAGACTGTCAGCCATCGGTATGTCATTATATCTTCCTACCTCTATACCTAACCCAAAATTGCTACACCTGAACTTTGCTAGGAGAGATTTTAGATAGGGAGATATAGATAATGATAGGTAGCTTTCTACATGCAGTAATGATTTAAAGTGTTTGTAGGCAAATGAATCTGAAAGGTTATGAATAGTGGCAGACCATGATTGTTTGAGATTATCCGAAAGCCGAAGTTTAAACTGCTGCATAAATGCCTTGCTATCACCGACATCCTGTGAGAGCCATACAAACCTAAAACCGAATGTAAATAAGATATTTTTTATATTTGCGATTTCAACATATTGTAACCCTGAAATGGGAGTCGGTGTGATTCTAACTGAATTAACCTACACCAATATTTAACCGCTCTAGACATATAATTAAATTGTAATGGAAGCCTGCCACATTCCCCTAAACCATACTACTACTTACATTTCTGCCAACTCTGAGATATTGTCTGCAAATCTTAATCTGAAGACCTTCAATAATTTTACAATATGATGTTCCCCAAACCTCAGATCCATAACACAGAATAGGCAGAATGACAGAATCAAACAACTTAAAGAGATCCTGAGCTGACAGATTTCCAAAATTTCTTTGAAAGGAATAGATAGATACAAGTGCTTTATTACCCTGAGGGAGCAGACAATGGTGAGCCTTAGTCCATGATAGCCTAGGAGTAAAAACTATGCCAAGATACCTATAAAATGACACAACCTCAATTTGTTTACCTTCGAAGAACCAATTTTCATAATGCCTTAAATATCCTGAGTTTCGAAACACAATAATCTTTGTTTTGTCCAAATTAATCTTCAAACCAGTATGATGGATCATGGATACTGTACAAATAACAATTAACAGTAGTTGATCAGGTGCATTGAATATATTATCTTTGTCAAACACATTTACGTAGTACAAGCCTTCTCTGACAGTAAATATATGTTAAAGTAAATAAAGCGAGACTGGACAATCAAACAAGGATGCAAGTGGACCTTTGGAATAGTTACCGTATATGTCGCGTGTAAAGCGATGTCCCGTAGAAGGCGACCCGCTTCACAGTGAATGCACATCATCAGAGCATACATGATCCCCAAATTTGTAATAAGAAACGTTTTGGGTCACAGTATTTTTTCATACGATGCTTGGCCGCGTTTACCACCAACACATGGCTCTATTTTGTGTGTTGACACGGTGAAACAACAAAATGATGAAAGTAAAATTATTCTGTTCATTTAATTTCTGAAGTAAATTAGATGAAGACCGTCTTTTTCCTGTGACTTAATCACCAATTATCTATGTCACAATCCATGTTTCAAGGTATGTAAAACTTGCCTTATATGTAGCGATATACAGTATTACACAATTGAGCTGATTTACCTTCAATACATTGCAGAGACCAGAGGAGCATACAGCCACACTTACACAGACTCATTTGATAGAAGTGTCATGGCAGCTGCATTTTGGAAGTCCTCCGAATTTGATTTGGACTTCATGTAAGGAAGTTTTTCTATTACTCTTTGCACTAGTAAACATTTCTAGATTAATTTCCTCCTGTAATCTTTTGAATTTGTGTTTTTGCAACAGATTGTTCGCAAAATTTGTCTGATCCACAGACTATCTGATCACAATCATTGTAAGTCATCTGATTCCAAGGAATTCCATAGCGAGGCTAAAACCCTTTAAAATGTTTGTCTCTTGTTTTTTCATATGAACTACACTTTTCCATATCTGCTGTATTCTTGGGAACAGGCTGGTGTATTGTATAAGTTGCTGCAATTTCCCGGGCAGAATTGTGTCCCTTAGAACCACACAGTCCCAACTGTGTAGATTAATGCTCATGATGTTGATCACTGGATTGTCTGGTCCAGATTTGATTATTCACAGGCAATCGTCACATAGCTGCAATATTGCTGAGTGCAGCGTTAAACAACAACCAACCAGCATAGTCATAGGTAATAATCCTGTTTCAACCTGATTATGCTTTTAAAAATGAACCGCCTCCGTGGTGTAGTGGTTAGAGCGTCCGCCCGGAGAGCGGAAGGTCTCGGGTTCGATCCCCGACTGCGTCATACCCAAAGACATTAACATATGGTACTTGTTGGTCCCCGCCTGGCGCTCGGCATTAATGGGTACAACAAGGACTGGTCGGCTCGGAGTATAATGTGTCTGAGTAGGGTATTCATGCTTCACTGCGGCATGGTATCTCAGTGGGCTAGCACTATAAAACCAGCTTAAATCTGGGCTAGTACAAGCAGCCTCACACACACATATACACACACACTCATGCACGTCGTCATGTGAGCGAAATATTCTCAAGCACGACGTTAAACCCAATTTCACCTGACCTCACTTTTAGTAAAATGTTAACATCATACTCATGTTTGGGGAATATCTAGAACCCACATTACATTGCCATGACGAACAAATACTCTGTGACACAACTGAAATATTCCACAAAGTAACTAACCATCCCGTACTTCTTGTAGATGGTGGATTAATGATTTATTTAAGAAGAACGGGGTAGCTGATATCCTGATTGACCGCCCACTTCAAGAAGTCATCTTCCACTCAAAGGGCAAGGACCCTGATTACTGGAAGAAGTACAACACACCCAAGGTCACCCCGCTCATCATCGCAATCAACTATAACAGCTTAGATAACGCCTTCCTAAAATATTTTCTGTTTCAACGTGTGAATGTTAACATGGCAGACAGCGAAGGGATCACTCCAATGATGCATGCTGTCAAGGGGGTGAGTTTGGCCTGCTCTGATTTATCAGCTGTTGCTAAGCACTTTGGCACTTAAGGCAATTAAAGTGAGTCAGCTTAACTTGGTGTTTACCACTTGTGTTAGCTTCAGTTGCAGGCATGAGCAAGGGAGATAATGTTTTGGATACCCAACGTCTCTATTACAATTTGATGTTTGGGTAACTTAGTGGTTAAGACGTTTGCTCATCATGCCAAAGACCCGGGTTTGATTCCCCTCATGTGAACAATGTGTAAAGCCCATTTCTGATGTTCCCCGCCGTGTTCCCGTCATTGAAAGTGGTAAGCACAGTGTAGACCATGGTAAGTATAACCCTGTTTTTATTTTAAATCTTTTTCAGAAACTGTATTCCGTCAGGCCACTATTTACCGTCATTTTTGGAATTTTGTTCCAGAATAATATAATATCGGTGAAGACACTGATGAACTACAACTTTGACCCTAAAGAAGTTGATGATAGTCATGAAGACTCAGAAGAATCTGAAAAAGAGGAAGAAGACAAGAAAAAAGCTGACAACAAGAGTGAGTTAATGAATATTTTAGGAAAAGATTGGTTTGTGTTGACATGCTTTCAATGGAGACTTTACTGAGGGTTGAAGATTATGATTTTGTCAAACCACCTCCCACCTCTGTATCTTAATTTTGAATGAAAAAGTGTTTTGTTCACAGATATGAAATTCAGAAAGCTGTTATAAGTTCTTCTTTAACATCATGTTTTTTTGGTGGTGTTAGAATATTCAGGTTTATGTCAATGCAGAGTATGCGGGATGTTTTATGTACAACCAACAAATATATTTTGGCTCAAACAAAGACTTGGTCGAATTGATAGTATCAGCAAACTTTGTCTGCAATCTGTAATTTTATGATTTTTAATAGATCACACAAACTGTTAATCATTAGTGTAAGTACAGTGAGAAATGTTTTGTATCACACACAACACACATTAGTGTCCAGAAAATCAGCCGAAATGGACAAAGAACAGTGAAGGAACTCATGTTTCTAATTTGTAGAGAAGAAATACAAGCCATTCAAAAACTTGAGCAAGGTGAACCTTAACACAGTGGACAAGAATGGCTGGACTGTGATTCACCATGCTGTATGCCCCCTCGGCCATGGCACCTTTGATAATGATGAGATTGTGTTCATACTGGCCAAAGCTGGCACCAAGCTGAATGTAAAGAACAAGGATGAGGACTCACCTCTGGATCTGGCACTGAAAAATGGTGCCTTCAAGATAGCTCGCATGCTGCAGAAACTGGAGAATATCAGTGAGAAGAACATGGTGAGTGATATCAATAATACTAATGATGATGATGACAGTCATCTGGGCACATGTTAGACCCTGACCCTATCTTCAGTGAAGTTCTGAATCTTGCCCAACCAACCAACTGAAGTTCAGGAATGGTAAAATGATAAATTTAATTACCTCTTTAATTCTCTGTGTTCTTTTCCCACCCTACATCTGTAGTACAGTCTCACCCTCATAATCTATTTACCTTCTCACCTTACATCTATACCAGTGTCTCACCCTCCTACTCTATTACCTTTGGAAACCAAACGCTGCGCGAAATCTTGGGATCCGGATTTTTGCCTTATTATGAGGACACACACAACACAGTTGTAAATAACGAGTTTTTAAATTTGAGTGTTTTGTTCATTCCATAACCTTGTTCGTAGAATAGTTTTATCTTTAGTCAACAAATATACTGTGGGTTGGCTGAAAAGCCAGGGATGCTATCCATAAGGTTGGTATCGGAAGAAACGTTATTCTTTCTGCTTTGTTGCATGTTTTACACTTATAGAATCACTTTGTCTTCCATTCACTGTCATGTTTACAAAAGAAAACTGGGTCATAACATAGTACATGGACTATGTAAAATCACAGGGAAGAAATATATAAATACTTCACAATGGTAGATAGAATAAGAATATTATGTTCAAACTGTCAAGGGTTAAATAATGAAAAGAAAAGAATAGATGTGTTTAGAAATTTTAAAGAGAAAAATGGACATATTTATTGCATCAAAGATACTCATTTCACAAGAGATATGGAGCAAAAGAAAAAGATGAAAAATAGCAAAAGTCCCGGACCTTCTGGCTACACATCCGAATTCTTTAAATTCTTTTGGAAGGATATTCATACATTTTTGATAAACTCGTTGAATTATGCGTATCTAAATGGGGAACTATCGGTCAGCCAAAAACAAGGCCTTATTACATGTTTACCCAAAAAGGAAAAGTCTAAAGAATACATAAAAAACTGTAGACCCATATCCCTACTAAATATATCATACAAAATAGCATCAGCAACAATTGCAGCTCGTATAAAAAATATACTACCAACTATAATTAGTGAGGATCAAAAAGGATTTATGAAAGGGAGATATATTGGCGATTGCACTAGACTGGTAGCAGACATAATGGAATACACCGAACAATTGAATATACCAGGTTTACTTATACTAATCGACTTTGAAAAAGCTTTTGACTCTGTTGAATGGAAATTTATTGAGAATTGTCTCGATTTTTTTAATTTTGGACCTTCTATTACACATTGGATTAAGACTTTTTACAATGATATAAAGTCAAGTGTTCTAGTAAATGGTTTTTCCAGTAATATTTTTAATATTTCGAGAGGATGTAGACAAGGTGATCCACTTTCGCCATATCTATTCCTTATCTGCACAGAAAGTTTGGCACACATGTTGAGGGAAAATAATAATGTAAAGGGTATTAAACTTCTTGATATTGAATATTCATTAACGCAATTTGCAGACGACACAACACTTATTCTTGATGGAACGGAAAAATACTTTCAAGCAACCTTGGGTTTACTTAATCAATATGCTGAATTTTCTGGCCTTAAAATAAACATAGAAAAACTACAATAATATGGATTGGTTCTATGCAATACTCAAGCATTCAATACTGTAAGACTTTCAAACTAGATTGGTCCCAAAGACCCTTTACTTTACTCGGAATTCAGTTTCAACACAACCAGGCTGAAATGGTTGAAAGAAATTATAAAGACAAACTAAAACAAGTTGATAAGACAATGACGATGTGGTTAAGAAGAGACCTTACTCCATTTGGCAGAATTACTGTTCTTAAAAGCCTTATATTGCCTTCCCTAAACCATCTTTTTACTATGTTGCCAAATCCAAGAAGTGATACCATTCAAAATCTACAGAAAAAATGTTTTAAATTCGTTTGGAAAGGAAAACCTGACAAGATCAAGCGAAACACGATTATTCAATCGTATAAAGAAGGGGGGCTAAATGTACCTTTAATTCTTGAAACAATACAAGCTCAAAAACTCTCATGGCTGCGCAGGACATTTGTTAAACATTCTAACATATCAAATCTTATAGATTTTGCTATTCCAACAAAAGTCTTCACCCAATAGAGATGGGAGCAAACTACTTAAAACACACTATTATCCAAATATCAGTAATGTTTTTTTGAGAGATGTTTACGAAGCGTGGGCAAATATGCAATCTTTACAAATAAATGATGACGTTGATACAGAAACTTCACAACAGTATATATGGGCAAACGACAATATTACCGTAGGCCAAAAGCCTATTATTTATAAACATTACTTGAAGGGAAATGTTAAATTCATAATGATCTACTGAAAAAAGATAGTAATTTTCTTACCTATGAAGAGTTTATTTCCCTATATAATATTAAGACAATTTGTTTAGAATATAGGGGTATCATTAACTCCATAAAATCCTACTTACTTTCGAAAGAACTTACCCTGTGTAAAGTAGAGGAGCCATTTATTCCTAATAATATACATATGCTCTATAAAGAACGTAAAGGATGCAAGATTTTCTACTCTGTCTTGCTAAGGATACATACATTAAAAGAAAAGCTAAATAGTCAACTTAAATGGGAAAGGGATATCAACGTAGATATATCAGAACAACTATGGAAAGTTTTTAACTATGTACCTTTTACAACAAACAAGGATTTATTTAACTATAAACTGACACAATCCGCTTCTTAAAATGGATAAAATGGAATCAATTATCCACGTATTTTGTGAATGTATACATGTGAAAACGTTGTGGCAGCAACTAAAAGCCTGGATTGAACAAGAAACAGGCACAAAATTAACTCTGGATCGAAAACATATCATCTTTGGATATAAAGAAGAAAGAAATGATGTACTAAACCTTATTATCATCGCAACAAAATACTATATATATGCAAAGAGATGTTCCAATTCGCATCCACAGATTGCTGGATTAAAACATTATCTACACAACTTGTATGAAATTGACAAATGTGCTGCCTTTTCGCACTGCAACTATGGTAAATTCTTCACCTTTTGGTCATCTTGCCATAACCTCTTCACATAAATTGCAACAACAAATGTATTCTTATAGCCTACGAATTATCTACCACCCATGTCCTTGTTTTATAATATTTACATGTACCACAAATGCATAAATTATGTACCCATTATAAAGAAATAAAGTGATAAAAAAAAAGAAAAAAGATAGCTCGCATGCTGCAGAAACTGGAGAATATCAGTGAGAAGAACATGGTGAGTGATATCAATAATACTAATGATGATGATGACAGTCATCTGGGCACATGTTAGACCCTGACCCTATCTTCAGTGAAGTTCTGAATCTTGCCCAACCAACCAACTGAAGTTCAGGAATGGTAAAATGATAAATTTAATTATCTCTTTAATTCTCTGTGTTCTTTTCCCACCCTACATCTGTAGTACAGTCTCACCCTCATAATCTATTTACCTTCACACCTTACATCTATACCAGTGTCTCACCCTCCTACTCTATTACCTTCTCACCCTACAACTTGTACTACTGTCTCACCCTTCTTATCTATTACTTTCTCACCTGACAACTGTATTACTGTCTCACCATTTTTATCTATTACCTTCTCACACTACAACTGCAGTACTATCTCACCCTCCTACTCTTTTACCTTCTCACCTTACAAATGGTCTACTGTCTCACCTTCCTAATCTATTAGCCCTGTGAGGTCCGGGTTAGAATTGATGTTCAGTAACCCACGATTATCGTAAGAGGCGACTAACGGGATCGGGTGGTCAGGCATACTGACTGGGTTGACACATGTCATCCTATCCTACTTGCGTAGACCGATGTTCATGCTGTTGATCCCTGGATTGTCTGGTCCAGACTCGATTATTTACAGACTGCCGCCATATAGCTGGAATATTGCTGAGTGCGGCGTGAAACTAAACTCACTCTACCTCTCTCCTAATCTATTACTGCCTCACCTTCCAACTGAACTACTGTCTCACCTTCCTACCTTCATCTCCTTCTCACCTTACAACTGTACTACCGTCTCACCCTTTTTATCTAGTACCTTCTCACCCTACTACTGTATTGTTTCGTGTCCTATGATTTACAATTTCTTGTCAGTGATTGATTATGACATGATCATGATTGTGTGTCCGCAGAAACAGCCCAAATATCAGCCCACCACTGTGACAGCCAGCATGAAATGGTCCAGTCCTACACCGTCTTTCCGTGAAGATGCAGAGAGACTGGTGGAGAAGGTTGGGAAGCCTATGGATGTTGAGGAGGAGTATGTGGCAAAGATCGACTCCAACTGTACTGTCCCGAATGGGTGAGTTGACTGACAGGGTTCATTAAAAATCCCCAGTTGTAGTATAAATGTTGGAGAATTTTAACTGTGTGAAAGATTAAGAAGACAGCGGTCACAAGAGTGGATGAAGAGGTTTTGAGGATTGAGGTCAGCAAAATGATTGAGAGAAAGGAGGCCAGTAAAAGGGTTTGCAATTAGACAAGGAGTTAAGATTTCTGGAGAAAGGAAGTTTGGAAAGTAAAAAAGATGACCATGGTTTCCAATTCTTTTGTTTTCAGGACACTGGAGAAGGATGAGGAACAGGACCTGCTCTATGATGTCCTCCTTACCAAAGTTGACATCAACTTGGGCGTGAATGGACTGTACAACTTTTACAAGATTCAGGTAATTTACCAGGGAGGGCACTATTGTTTGCCTAGGGCAAAGCTGACCTTTGTATTACTCTTTAACTTAAACCTTGGTGTAGAGTTTTAACTACAAAGCTCTTGTTTAGGTCATGTCATCTGAACCTCAGCCAGTTTATTTTCTTTTTTCAGCTTGTTCATCAACCGGACAAGGACAAGTTCATCCTGTTTACACGATGGGGTCGTATCGGGGACAGCGGACAGTACCAGAACACCCTGTACCAAGTGAAGGAAGAGGCTGTCAAAGATTTCTGTAAAATATTCTATGCCAAGACTGGGAACAAGTGGACAGATGTTAAAAAGTAATGATTTGCTGCTTTATACTTCAAAATGTCTTATGCATATCCATGCTACCTAAACTAATTTTGCAAGATATTTGTTTGTTTTTAAAAAGATCATGAAACAGAACGGCTAGTTTATTGTTTGCACAACTGTAGGAAAGACATATTCTTGAGGAAAGCACCACAATTCACATTGAAGAGTTGCGTCCTTTGATGGAATCTTTGGAGTTAACCTGCTAAGATGTTTAGTTAGCACCCACAAACCCTTTATTTGCAGTTTTACCTATGTGGTAAATGTCTTGAAAACTTAAATCCTCTAATGAAAACTTAAATCCTCTGATATGACTGAAATACTGTTCAGATCAGTGAGCTGATAATGAAGATGAAGGGGAAGTAACAACTGATAAAGTACATCACATTCATTGGTTTTGGGTACTGCAGTTTTCTGTGGAGTTGCATCCCTAGCTGCCAGGATCTGCTGATTGTATTGTGAATCCCCGTGAAAAAGACCCTCAGTTTGTCTTCGTCTTGCCCAAAGAGTAGTATATCGAATGGGGGTTCTGGACCACCATGTCCTGAATTCAGGATGAAGTTCAGGATAGTTCAGGATAGTTTTGCCAAATGACAAGCGAACACTTTAACCAGTAGATTACACCAGCGCCTCAGCTTACAATATGTGATAGCACTGTTAACACAGCTGAGAAAAAGAAACTGGCAACTAATTCTCTGTTACAATGTTTTTTAGTTTTGAGAACAAACCGAGGGAATGTCACATCGTTCACAACAAGGATAGACGTCAAGGCCCCACTCGGACAGACATTGAATTCAGAAACAAGTCTACCATGAAATCCAAGCTGCCATACCATGTCAGAAATCTTGTGGAGAAGCTGGTGAGAAACCTTATATGATTGAATTCATTAATTTCTCACATGATTATGTTCTGTAAGTTAATGTTTTGTGAGCTATTATGTTAAGGCTGTTGGTTTCTGTGGGATTCTCTTTTAAATATTGTGATTGAAAATATATCAAAAGATACATTAAACTGTGAAATGCAAAAAAAATAGAAATCAATTAATCTTAAATAAGATGACATTCACTATGATGTTTTGGGGTGTGGAAAAATAATATCATGCATCCAGTTTTATTTCTCTTTTGATTTGCTGAATGTCAGCAGACGCATCACTTTAAAATAGATGAAAAAAGGAATGTGGTATTTAGTTTGAAATTTGAGTTACAATAAAAACATTTTAATTTGAAATCTAAATAAATGCAAAATATATGGGGATCCATCACGTGCTGATTAATGGTATCTGCTAGTCTTTCTGTTGAAGTATTTCTCAAATCTTTATTATTTAATGTTACTATACAAATAAATAGGATAATAAATGGTGCCATTTTTCATTTTATTGCATATTGCATTTGATGCAGTTATTCAGGTTTTACCATAGAGGCATTCAGGAAAATCCCTCAAAAGTAGAAGAAATAGAGTTTGTAAATAGCTTTAGAAATAATTTACCAGTATATGGATACCAATTGTATTTGTATGACATTAGTTCAGATTCGTACAAACAGCCCTGTGTGTGCGTGCATGAACACTCTCACAATAAGAACATGCAAATCTGCATGTGCACTCTATGTAAGAACACCACTGCCCCATTTCACATTGCCCTTGATCAATGGCACATGCATATTGATTGTGTGAGGCATGAATGTTGCCAAGATATGAAGATCTGAGCAATGCCCTTCTTACTCTCAGACCAATGTCACGTCTCTGAAGGAAGCTCTAAGCAAGGAACCAATGGATACCAGCATCATGCCGTTTGGATGTATGCAGAGAGACAAGCTTCTCAAGGCAAGGTCACTGCTCCAGAAGATAAGGTAAGTTTGTAACGCAATAAAAAATATTCTAAGTGTTTTACATCTCCATGATCAGTGTAGCATAAACCAACAAAATGTCATGACACTTTCTTAGGATGATTTGGTCCAGTAAGTTGTTGAGTCCACTTATATGAATCATGTGTTGAGGCATTCGGACAAGACTGGTTACAGACTTCCTCGGGTACATTTCTTCCTGTAAGCTTTCATGGTTCAGTCCAGTTAGACGGATCGAATGGGCAAGGCTAGTTGCATGTTGTTATAATTAGACTTCCTCAGGAGGATTTGTTCAAGTAAGCGATGGTAGTTGGGTTCACTAAGATGGATTGAGTGATCGGGCATTTGCACAAATCTTGTCATCATATCCAGTATTGAGGATAACTCACATTGGTTAGCTTAGTCCAAACTTGCCTTCAATACTGCAGTCAGTAATAATGGTTCACTTAAATACCTTCATTGATAGGCTTGCATTGGATTAATTCACTTAAAATGCCAAAACATTTCGATTATTAAGCAGGACAAAGATGCATACAAAGTACTTACTCCTATAAAGTAACTCGATTTAAGCTGGCTCTCTCATAGATGAATATTTTAGGATGTGCAGATAAGTATTAAATATTAGAGTATGAAATATTGAAATCTGAAAATGTACTTTCTTTATGAATCCTTTTTTGTAGGGTTGTGAATAACAAAGGGGATGACTGGATGCAGGGGGAATTTGGCCATGGTTGGGTTTTTAGGGGTGCGGTTGGGTTTCAGGGTTTGAAGTGAAGGTAAAGGTTTGCCTGTCCTAAGAAATTTAATTGAGTTCATGAAAGACAGGTTATTTAATAATTCATTGAAGCTGTGGCCACCCTGGTCTAACTGCATGTGTTGTGAAGCTTATGCTCTTCTGTTTCAGTGTGTTGGTGGAGGAAGTGGCTGGATATCGAACAGGGTCAGGAAGAGAAGAACAAACTGAGGAGAAGAAGGAGAAATATCAGGCTAACTGTGAAGAGGTAATGATCCAAGTTTGTTTCCATGCTACCATGAACACATGAACACAAATGTTTCAGCAGCGCATAATTATCCCCAAATGGGTTTCAGTGTATTAGATTTGCATCACTTTGTGCTATCCTACCAGTTAATATTCACATGTGATATTACTGAAGTATGTTTCATAAAGGGATTTAATCCAAACCACTCACTCACTAATTATCATTGCAGGTAGCCAAACTCAGCAGTGAGTACTATCAAGTTATACCGCAGGTTGGTTTTGCTTACGAGAAGATTAGGCCACTCGACCAACTCAATGATCTGAAGAAACAGATCCGTCTTGTGTCCTACCTCCTGGACTATGAAGTAGCCAGCAAGATGCTCCTGGGTGCCATGTACAGAGAGAAAGGTGAGGGTCGTTGCGTGTACAGTACATTTGTACTGGGGCAATATTCACAAAGCATTCGGATCACTGCGTCATTTAAAGCCTATGTTAAGGCATAGTTTTGATAACTCGTAACGTTACGAACGTTTTGTTGATCAGAACACTGCACATGTTCTCCAAGCCATCAGTCGTATTTTGTGTTAATGCCATAATAGGCTTCCAAAAAACAGGGGGATGGAACAAATTAAGAAGCAGAAACTAGTTTTTGCAAGTTTTCTGTTGTATGTGAAAGATATGTGGCAGGTTTAATATCAAGAGGTTGTTATCAGGTAGGAGTCACAACTATTCTGCTTCTCTATAATGCAAAATTATGTGATTGACAGTATTGACACTCCTCCTTGACACACAATGCATTGTGAAGTTTGACAATTGTGCAATTTAATATATGCAATGCAATGGGTACTCTGTTGATTTCAGAAGTGAACCCTCTGGACTATGTGTATCTGTCTGTGGGATGTAAGTTACAACTGTTGTCTGAAGATGTCGTAGAGTCGCAGTACATCCTCCGCTACATCAACAACTCAGGTAAGGAGTGAGTGCTGTTACTGTCACCATAGGATAGTATTAGTTCTCTCTACATAATATTTGCTACATCAACAGCTTATCAAAGAGCCCTCTGAAATTTGTAGGATGTATCGGCCTGTGTCAGAAAACACAGTACAATGATATATGGTGTAATTTATTTTAAAGTTGTGTAAATGTCAAGGCCACGTGTTGTAGCTGGAGGCCTAGTACCTGGTGTGACAAACCCATGTATTATGTACATCATGATGTTACATCATCTGGACAGTCGTCTGATGTTGGTGAAGTATTCCTCTGGCGTTGACATTTGAAAGATTCATATTAATTTTCTCAATTATATTGACAGTCTGATATATACTCTTAAAGTAGGGAAACCTGAGCTTTCAATTTGGATAGGAAGTATAAGCGTTAGCACACTTTTCAAAGACACACATCTTATGAACGCACCACCATTTCTCGCTATCACAACGTATGGGATGCACGTGCACAACGCAGTAGCCCCAGACACGTGCATGGGGTGTCATTCTTGATTTTGGCGGCTTTCAAGAAGGTCGATAAATCACTGTAGACCAATAATTTTAACAATCATCTTGCATCACACAGTTGTTAGTGTTTGTTTCTAGCTGTTTATTTTTGTTTGAAAATGAAAATCGTACACATACAAATTTCTCGTCATACACCAATCATCTTTCAAGAGCGATTACTGTACAAACAACTCTGGTCATAAGGAAGTGTAAATGGACATGCACTCTCAAAACATTCATTATTATCATAATCAGCATTGATTGACTCCGATATATCTGCCAATTTTTTAAATTGTCAATTAAAAATGAAGTTCCCTACATTTTGGACGAGTATATTTACAATGAAAACGTGCTTGGAGCTTTAAAATTATTGATGATAATTCCTTGTTAGTGAATACTGACACAGCTTACTTTCTGTATTTACTTGATGGAATATGCTGCTTAGTCCCATAGGGATTAAAGTGTTTGCTTCTTCAATTCGAAGCCCCAGGTTCGATTCTCCACATAGTATAATGTGCGAACCCCATTTCTGGTGTCCCCCGCTGTAATATTGCTAAAAGCAGCGTAAGACTCAACTCACTCGCTCACTACTCCTTTCCTTAGCTCAGCTGTTATTATCCAAATCCTCAACATAATGTTCATCATTTTGATTCACTATTTCAGTGGACTTCGCAGAGGTGGAAGCCATCTACAGAGTGTCCATTCCAGGGCAACAGGAACGGATGGACAAGAAGAACTTGGACAATCATCGCCTCCTCTGGCATGGCACTGGCGTCGCCAACCTCCTCAGTATCCTCCACATGGGTCTGGTGATTGCCCCTCCAGATGCACCAACTACAGGTCGTCTGTATGGCAAGGTTAGTGTTAGGAAGTTATCACAAAGGATAGTATTCCATAATAATGTGACAGGATCAGACCGTTTTACTGCTGGGCAGCTATCACAAGGGATAGTATTTCATAATAATTTGACAGGGTCAGACAAGGGAAGGTCCAGTTGTTCTACTGCTGGGTAGCTATCACAAGGGATAGTATTTCATAATAATTTGACAGGGTCAGACAAGGGAAGGTCCAGTTGTCTTCGTGCTGGGTATCTATCACAAGTGAGAGGTTTTTCATAATAATTTGACAGGGTCAGACAAGGGAAGGTCCATTTGTCTTCGTGCTGGGTAGCTATCACAAGTGATAGTATTTCATAATAATTTGACAGGGTCAGACAAGGAAAGGTCCAGTTGTTTTACTGCTGGGTAGCTATCACAAGTAATAGTATTTCATAATAATTTGATAGGGTCAGACAAGGAAAGGTCCAGTTGTCTTAGTGCTGGGTAGCTATCACAAGTGATAGTATTTCATAATAATTTGATAGGGTCAGACAAGGAAAGGTCCAGTTGTCTTAGTGCTGGGTAGCTATCACAAGTAATAGTTTTTCATAATAATTTGACAGGGTCAGACAAGGAAAGGTCCAGTTGTTTTACTGCTGGGTAGCTATCACAAGTAATAGTATTTCATAATAATTTGATAGGGTCAGACAAGGAAAGGTCCAGTTGTCTTAGTGCTGGGTAGCTATCACAAGTGATAGTATTCCATAATAATTTGACAGGATCAGACAAGTGAAGGTGAAGTTGTCTTGAATGCATGTTTTGAACGAATAATTGGTGAACTTTGTAGGACAATGGCTCATTGTTAGGCCTGGCTATCAATATAAATTGTAGAGATCAATAATCTTGAATTAAATGTTGTAAATACTGTAAAAGTAACTTTGGCCCAAGATGCATAAAAAATCTGAACGTTGAATTGACTCAGAACATACATGACATGATAAATAATGATAATAATTTTGTTTAATGTTGCTGCGAGCATTATTTCAACTGTATCACACCAGACAATCCAGTGATTGATATATGGGCACTGATGACGTTATTGAGATATGATACACAACCGTCCAAGTCAATGTTGATGACCACTAAATCCATTAAGTTGCCTTGACTGCACGTTTGTACCAAGAACATGAACTTTGACAAGATTTTTGCCATCATTGCAGGGTATCTACTTCTCTGACACATTTGCAGCGAGTGCGTTAAAGTGCAGCAGGAAGAGCAAGACACTCTTCATGTTGTTGGCCGAGGTAGGAGACAAGATTTACATCACAATCCCCAAACGTTTCTTCATCTCACGTGAAATGACAATACTTTTAAGAATTTATTCCAGGCACATTCCAGTATTCGTTTGCCTTCAGATTTATATAATTTGACTAATGTTCTGTGCAGGGTATGATTTCTGAATTTTCAGGTATAAGCTTTATTAAGTTATTAGTTTCACAGTGACCGGCTCAATGAAGAGGTTTCCCAAGATTTTGTGCTGAGACTGGATATTTTTTCAGCTATATATTTTTGTGAATCTAGTCAATAAGCCAAAATATACTTGTTGAAAATAAAAACGCATCTTCGATTTATGTATTTTTGTGGCAGACAACTGCTTTCAACAGTCTGAAGAGTTGTTGTTTTTTCCAAGCTATTTCCATGCAAGATATTTGTTTTGAAACATTAAATGGTTGATCGTTTTAATCCCCTACATATTTCAAATTTTTGTCTTGTACAGGTTGGACTTGGCAATCAAAGGGTGATTGTCAATGGGAATGCAAAAGACATTGATAAACCGCAGAAAGGATTTGACAGCGTCCACATTGTTGGGAAATACAGGCCATCGGAAATGTATGATGTCAGTTTACCAACAGGTATGTATGACACCTGACGTTGTCATGGATATCTGTATATTTAAATCTGTATATGTATAGTTTTGTAACGATTCACTGAACATTAAGTAGACCACTATGCTCTAGCCCCAAGTATTGTCTTACTGGATCAAAAATACCAAAACAAAATGTGTCAATATGTGAGGGATTATTTATTATTAGGGAATATCAGGAAACATGTTTAATTCAGGAATATATGTATGATAAGTAAATATCAGCGGATATATGTGAACAATAAAGTTTAGACAACATGTCAGTGAAGATCAGGGAATGTGCATTGTCACTGAAGATAAGAGAATGTGCTTAATCAACGAAGGTCAGGGAATGTGTTTAATCAAAGAAGATAAGGGAATCTGTATTATATATGGATATCAGGGAACAAGGATTATCAGTGAAGGTCAGGGTATATGTTTGAATGTGTATATTTAATGAAAATAAGGTATCATGAGAATTAATGAATATCAATGTTTATCCAGATAATGTTTATTACCAGAGAAAACCAGGATATATCTGTTATGTCTTTAATGCGGGAACACTTGAAAAATGCACTTATTATGTATAGACTAACTTTTATCATATCACAAAGCATTTGAAAATCATGCTGTGCATGGTAATGAGCCAGTCGCCAACAAAATGCAATTTCAAACTTCATTATGGCATCAATGTATTTACGGACCTGGCAAGTATGTTTTCCCTGGAAAATAAATCTTAGATGCTTGTTTCCAATTTTTAAAATGATAATGTATAGTATAACGTGTGTTTCTTAAATCTTTCAGGGTATGTGATTCCACTTGGTGAGAGGACCTACAACTCTACCTACAACGATCAGACTGTCCATAATTACCACAATGTATTTGCGGTGTACGATGAGGGTCAAGCGTGCTTACGCTACCTCATTCAGTGGAGAAGGAAGTAGGTTGGCATTTCAATACGAGGGTCTTGAGATCTTGGATAATAACATGACACGTGATATCAGTTGTTATCAAGATCCTGTTCCAAAACGCGATCATAACATCATGACACAATGTCTGTGACACTACGATCACAACAGGTCTCTGACACTGTGATGTCTTATGTCTGTGACACTACGAATATCGTAACGTTTTAGCACAGTCCTCATTATAGCCAGCTGACGAATTTGGCCATTACCTATGTAATACATCCAACACTCTTAAAATCATAAACCATTGGATGTCAATATGACCATGCTTGTGAAAATATGCTACACTGTCATGTTAGCTTGTGGTTCATTGACCTATAGCATTGTGTAAGAATGTCCACAACACACCAAACCCTTGTTAATCTACGGCACTACAATGGTTGTTAGTCTATATTGTTAGTGGACTAACTGAAATGACATGTAACATAGGTTGTCAGTGAAGATCAGAGAATGTGCTTTATCAATAAACGAAGGTCAGGGAATCTGTATTATATATGGATAAGGTCACCGGAGACAATGTTAATATTACTGTGATCTTGTTCTGTAGAAAAATTAGTATTTCGTTTTGTTTGTTTTTCTATTTGACAATCCGAAAACTGTTGTATTGTTTGTGCAACTATTATGCCTTAGTGGCTTTGTTTTTGGAGAAATCATTTTGGATGAAATACATTCATCAAGTTTCGTAGATATTGGTCTGTGATGTGAATGGTTGTGAAAATGTGTTTACTCATTATCAATATGTTTTATTCATGGGTATTTTAGTTGTGGGTAATGAAAATTGTTAACTTTGAGTTTCATTTCAGCAACATTAGATGATAGTTTCCCTTGAAAATCTGCTTGAAACACATCACACAACCCAGTGTTCAAATAACGGTACACACAAATCAATTACAGTATTTGTGTCTTGAATGACTTATCTGTAATACAAGGAAATGGATTGATATCAGATGAGAATGTTTTGAAATATGTTTGCCAGTATTCTATTTAGGCAGATTCTTACAAGTTATGAAGTATGTATTTTATAAGAATAGCATTTGATATATCAACAGGGCTTTGTATGTAGTTTTAACTGAATGTCACAATGGTCTGACACCAACTCAAAATTATGATCATAGAGGTTCACCGGGACTGATCTTATTGACTGTTTAATGTCCTAAAATCATGACATTGTCATGTCCAACATAAACATTTGAGGGATGTGATCATTGAACATGTGGAACACCCATGTGATATGAGGGCATGACACATGTGGAACATACGGGACACCCATAGGATATGAGGGCACATGTAGAGCATATGGGGCACCTATTTGGTATGAGGGCATGACACATGTGGAGGATGAGACACACCCATTTCACGTCACACATGTAGAGCATAGGGGACACCCATATAATATGAATGCGTGATGCATGTGGAACATATAGGACATCCATTTGATATGAGAGCATGTAGAGGATATTGACCTATTTGAGATAAAAACATGACACATGTGGAGGGCATGGGACACTCATTTGATATAAAGTTATGACACATGTGGAGGGTATGGGACACCCATTTGATATGAAGTTATGACACATGTGAAGCATATGGCACACCCATTTGATATGAAGGTATGACACATTTGGAGGATAAGAGATACCCCCTTGATATGAAGGTATAACAAATAATTTGAGGCATTGTAATTGGTGCAAAGGTTACCATTTTTCTTTTTAATTAGTCCAGTTATACATTGCTTAACTGATTGTATCGTAAGATTTGAGCGTGTTTTGAATAAACTTGCCTATACTGAAAAATGACATGAGAAAAATTCACCCTGTATGTATTTTTGCCAAATAGTGGTATTTCCAGTCAGTGATGTATCATTCCTGTGGTCATATTGTGGTGGTCTTGTATGCTGACCATGCAGATCATGATGAGGACATTTTCTTGTATTAGAAGATACTGTGTTATTATTGTGCTTGATGTCTGTATTTTAGGACGGCAGACGGCAGACGGCCTTAGACGTATCCTACATTATTAAAACTTGATTACATTAGGCATTGTTCACTGCTCAAACAAGCTCATAGGACAAACGACACACATAACCCACTCCACAATCATAACATGTCACCAACTCGACAATCATAAAACAGTACCCACTGTGCACTTGGACCATGACACCTTCCACACTTTTTGGACACAGAGACTCAACATGAATACAGTCTCTTCTGTTATGTTTACGAATGAAATCTTTTTGTAACACACTGTATAACTAGGTTTATGATTATATTAGGTACAATATATTTTATACAATTCTTAAGGATGAAAATCACTAACTATTTCATCATGGCCTACATATATCACTTTGTTTCATGAAACAGTTTTGCATTATTTGTTTCAAATGAGACGGTTTGGTTTTGACTGGCAATGGTCACGAAATATTGAGTAAATGGACACTCCAAATCATATACGTCTAAGGGTATCACTGCCGCATATATTTTTAAAATAGTTAATGGAAAACCAATAATTTACATATTGTACACTTATTGTCGGTCATATCTATGTGTATTTATTATTATTATTACATTATTGTTTTCATTGACTTTTAATTGTTGTGCTGTTGATCACTGGATTGTCTGGTCCAGACTCGATTATTTACAGACCACTGCCATATAGCTGGAATATTGCTAAGTGCGGCGTAAAACTGAACTCTCTCACTCACTCATTTTAATTGTTGATATATTTTTATGTTTTTTCCTATATAAGACTATCTGTTTGGTAAGCCCTGTAGGCATAGTGATTGAAATTGTCATTTGTTTATTGTCATTGGTGAATGAGTTTGTTTATTAGAGATGGATATGAGATGAGTTGTGTGAAGTTATTTTCTTTTCATCAGCTTTGTTTTACCTGTTGTGCTCAGCTAAATGTAGGAAATATTATACAGATGACTATATGAAGATATTTAATGTATGTTTGCTTGTAATGACAGTTTTGTTTTTGTACTGATTCAGTGGTTTATTTATGCTTGTTTAGTTTGGCAGTAAGATGTGCTTGTTTTACATTGTGCCAACAGTAAAAGTGGAAAATCTCAATTGAGCCATCAGTGAAAGTAAAGCCAAACGTTCAATGGTGTCATTACTTGAAAAAAACCCAACTTTTTTACTGGGAAACCTGTGCTTTCATTGCCTGGGATGAAGTTTTCATACATATTTTGTATGGGTTCAAAGTAACAAATTAGTTGCATTCAGAGACAGGTTAATCCAAGTATACAAACTCAAAAACATAATGTCTTCAAATGCACATGCGGTATGATTTTACACACATAAAAGACTGTTTAATTATTTTTTCTGCTGATTCTGTATGTAATGCATTATCCTCACATAAACTTCAATGGAATTCGTATCAAAATTAATATCACTTATGAAGTATATACAGAAACAAATTCTAAATGCTTAATGGACACCAGATGTACCCAGCCATCAATATTATGTCTTCTGTTGTTTTAAATCCAAATTGGTGGCAAAGTGTTTCATAGTCGCTGGGTTAAATCCGGCTTCTGGGATAACCTTTTGCTATTAATAACCAAATTTAATACCAAAATGTTCATGCCACTATTGACGCATTAAGACAGATAAGTATCTTCCAGAATGCACTCAATGAATGGATGTCTGCTATTAACCCGAAAGAACGCCAAATGCAAGTAAAATTAATAGCTTAAGAAAAGGGCTTGATTGGAGGGAGGAAAAAAGTGTGTCAGGAGTGGGATTTGAACCCACGCCCACATTCGTGGACCAGAACACCCGTATCTCCACTATGGGAGAAGGTCTGATGCAATACCTTGAGTCTGGCGCCTTAGACCGCTCGGCCATCCTGACAACGATGTTAAAAGTCATATCTTGACGCTTTTATAGTCACCCATGTATTCGTTGCCATTGATTTGATGTTGATACTCCCCCACATCCCTGCATATATTGGGGATAGAGTTTGAGCTATTAATTTCATTCCATCTGCGTTCTTGCCTCCTTCAAGCTTCTTATTTTCAATGCAACTGGTGTAATGGATGTACTCTTCATGTAACTCTCAATTGTCACGACGTTTTGACTTGCTGAGTAGTCTGCACACATTTCAGCGAATAATAATGCTGAACATTCAGGTTTTCGTCACATGTATAACTGAGCATGTTTGTGAGGATTAGGCTCTTTGCTTACAGATTCCATAATGACTTCGGTATATGTCAACTTGTCTCACTGGAGATTGGTGTGAGGAGACATATGTGGCTCTGCGGTTGAAATGAGTCTACACTTATATTCGGCATGTTACTGGCCACGACGCACGGTCAGCAAGGAGGAAGTATTTGATCAGTCAAGCGATTAAAGTGGTATTGATTTGAAACAAATGTGTCTTTTAAAACGACGTTAAGTGTCAGGACCCGTGATAGCTCAGTTGGTAGAGCGGAGGACTGTAGTGGCAAAGCTGTAATTGGCAATCCTTAGGTCGCTGGTTCAAATCCGGCTCGCGGGACAACCTTTTGCTATTAATAACCAAATTTAATACCAAAATGTTCATGCCACTATTGACGCATTAAGACAGATAAGTATCTTCCAGAATGCACTCAATGAATGGATGTCTGCTATTAACCCGAAAGAACGCCAAATGCAAGTAAAATTAATAGCTTAAGAAAAGGGCTTGATTGGAGGGAGGAAAAAAAGTGTGTCAGGAGTGGGATTTGAACCCACGCCCACATTCGTGGACCAGAACACCCGTATCTCCACTATGGGAGAAGGCCTGATGCAATACCTTGAGTCTGGCGCCTTAGACCGCTCGGCCATCCTGACAACGATGTTAAAAGTCATATCTTGACGCTTTTATAGTCACCCATGTATTCGTTGCCATTGATTTGATGTTGATACTCCCCCACATCCCTGCATATATTGGGGATAGAGTTTGAGCTATTAATTTCATTCCATCTGCGTTCTTGCCTCCTTCAAGCTTCTTATTTTCAATGCAACTGGTGTAATGGATGTACTCTTCATGTAACTCTCAATTGTCACGACGTTTTGACTTGCTGAGTAGTCTGCACACATTTCAGCGAATAATAATGCTGAACATTCAGGTTTTCGTCACATGTATAACTGAGCATGTTTGTGAGGATTAGGCTCTTTGCTTACAGATTCCATAATGACTTCGGTATATGTCAACTTGTCTCACTGGAGATTGGTGTGAGGAGACATATGTGGCTCTGCGGTTGAAATGAGTCTACACTTATATTCGGCATGTTACTGGCCATGACGCACGGTCAGCAAGGAGGAAGTATTTGATCAGTCAAGCGATTAAAGTGGTATTGATTTGAAACAAATGTGTCTTTTAAAACGACGTTAAGTGTCAGGACCCGTGATAGCTCAGTTGGTAGAGCGGAGGACTGTAGTGGCAAAGCTGTAATTGGCAATCCTTAGGTCGCTGGTTCAAATCCGGCTCGCGGGACAACCTTTTGCTATTAATAACCAAATTTAATACCAAAATGTTCATGCCACTATTGACGCATTAAGACAGATAAGTATCTTCCAGAATGCACTCAATGAATGGATGTCTGCTATTAACCCGAAAGAACGCCAAATGCAAGTAAAATTAATAGCTTAAGAAAAGGGCTTGATTGGAGGGAGGAAAAAAGTGTGTCAGGAGTGGGATTTGAACCAACGCCCACATTCGTGGACCAGAACACCCGTATCTCCACTATGGGAGAAGGCCTGATGCAATACCTTGAGTCTGGCGCCTTAGACCGCTCGGCCATCCTGACAACGATGTTAAAAGTCATATCTTGACGCTTTTATAGTCACCCATGTATTCGTTGCCATTGATTTGATGTTGATACTCCCCCACATCCCTGCATATATTGGGGATAGAGTTTGAGCTATTAATTTCATTCCATCTGCGTTCTTGCCTCCTTCAAGCTTCTTATTTTCAATGCAACTGGTGTAATGGATGCACTCTTCATGTAACTCTCAATTGTCACGACGTTTTGACTTGCTGAGTAGTCTGCACACATTTCAGCGAATAATAATGCTGAACATTCAGGTTTTCGTCACATGTATAACTGAGCATGTTTGTGAGGATTAGGCTCTTTGCTTACAGATTCCATAATGACTTCGGTATATGTCAACTTGTCTCACTGGAGATTGGTGTGAGGAGACATATGTGGCTCTGCGGTTGAAATGAGTCTACACTTATATTCGGCATGTTACTGGCCATGACGCACGGTCAGCAAGGAGGAAGTATTTGATCAGTCAAGCGATTAAAGTGGTATTGATTTGAAACAAATGTGTCTTTTAAAACGACGTTAAGTGTCAGGACCCGTGATAGCTCAGTTGGTAGAGCGGAGGACTGTGGTTACCTCCCTTGATTCGGAGGTGTGTGGACGTGTTGACGAGAGAGTGATAGATTTTCTCGGATATCATCGTTTATACTTGCGTCTGGATTTCAATTCGGTGCTTAGAAGGTAGGAGAACATTCACAATGTAATTGTAGGTGAACCTGCCGTATTAGCAAGCACTTTGGTGCGTGCTCAAGACTTTGTCTTTCTTGTTGATATCTTGCCGACTGGATACAAAATGGCGGACATCAAATCAAAAAGAAAGTATCAGAAAGACTGCACAATTGAAGTTCATGTTGGAGATAATAAAGTTATAAGTGCAACTATGCTATCCAATGCATTGGTGGAATATGTATCTGATGTGTGGGCATGTGTTTTGAAAGGCACCGATTGCTATGACGTAACAGTCCCAGATACTACCGAAGCAAGGATTCTTGCAGAAACCGATGACTTGGTCATAGGAGATCAACACATCTCATTTAGACTTCTTCACAGTGACAGCGTGGTGGTATCATTTTTACATCTCCCGCCTTACATTGATGATGTAGAAATTGAAAGGCTTCTCATCAAAAGAGGAATAACAATGAAAAGTGATATACAACACAGGACTCTGAAAGGCACAAACATTTTTTGACGGAACACGATATGTGCGGGTTGTATTTCCCCCTCAGTGCACCTCATTACCATATTCTATGGGATTTAACACCCTAGATGGATATAGGTACTTCAGAGTTATACATAACAATCAAGAGCGTTTATGTTTCAAGTGCAATTCTGGGGGGCCACATGGTCAAAGATTGCCCAAATACCAAATGCTTTAAATGCAATGGACAAGGGCATATAGCCAGAAATTGTAATGCAGAAAGAAAACAGGAACGCAATTGCGATATATGTTTTCGTCCAATTGATATTTGCAACTGTTTCTCTGATGTTGAAGATAATGATCAGAGCAGTGTTTCTGATTCTGAGCTGGAGAGAGAGCTAGCCCCAACGAAATCTTGGGATGAGGTTCCTCTGGACCATGAGTCAAATGAGAACCATACAGATGGACCAGAAGAAGAAAAAGACAATGAAGAGGAAGAGACAAAAGGAGAAGAAAAGGAAAGAAAGGCTGAGGAAGCACATCCACGTGCAGTTCCGTCTTCTGAGATCATTCCTAGTTGTGACAAGGAGAAGGACAATGACAGCACGGACAAGAACGCTTTGTCTCAAGATAGACTTGACATAACAGAAGATGATAAAGACATTCAACAAACACTTGTGACACCTGCTAAGTGGACAATTTCTTCACGTAAACGTGCAAGAAGGCACAAACTACAGCCAAAGTTAACAGACACAGTAATACATAGCAATGACTTGAAAAATAAAGTGAGAGAAAGCAAAAAGACCAACAAAAGAAAAAAGAAAGCAGAAAAGGTCAACGACAGAAGAGAACTATCAGGTGTGTCGAAAAGTGTTATGGAAACCTCATAATGTTGTTCATTATCCATCTATTTCTCTTTATTGTAATGGTCACAATATGGTCATGGAATGTAAATGGACTCCGTGATATAGCTAAAATGCAAAATGTATTTGCACTAATTCAGAATTCGCACGTTGATATTGCATTTTGCAGGAAACCTTTTGGTCAGATGAATATATAGAAAAATATAAACATTTATGGCCAGGAACTATTTTATATTCTAATGCAGAAAATGACAGAAGAGGTGTAGCGATATTAGTCTCAACTGGTTTTGAGCAAAAAGTTACGATGCTTAAAAAAGATGAAGATGGAAGAATAATAAAGGCTTCTTTATCTATTGAAGATAGAACAGTGAGTTTATTAAATGTGTATGCCCCAAATGAGATTAAGGAGAGAATACATTTCTTCAACAATTTAAGAAAATGGATTGAAAAAGAACATTTAATTTGTGCTGGGGATTTGAATGAGATAATAAATCCTTTACTTGATAAGGGCATAAATAATACATCGTTTAACATTCAAAGTAGCAACGTTTTAAACAATTTTCTCACCAATAACAACTTTGTTGATATATGGAGG